ATTTTATTTTTAAACTACAGTATCTGTTGTACCGATTAAAATTTTTGAACGAGATAAAATATTATTATGCCAGACGAGAGAGAGGGAGGGGCAATCAGGGCTAAAGTGTCAATAGCCCTAGGGCCAGGGCCCGACCAAAGCAACCAGGTCCTATATTTTACCTAATTTTTGCATTGATATAAAAATTATTTGTAGATTAATTTCATAATATTTTACTTTAAAAAATCAATATATATTATATTAACAATTAAACAATAGTAATTTCTTTGTACGGGGGCATCAGAGACAGTATAATATCAATAATGCTGTCCCTGAACCTTTATTTCGAGCTACCACGGCCGCCAAATATTGAAAATTATGATTCAAATAATCAATATAATTTTAATTTTGATACTATTGTATCTTAATATATTTTTTTTCTACACATTTTTAAGGACGATCCTGGGTGTATTAGTAGGGTAACTGGCAAGTTTAATATTTTACATATAAATGTATTTGTTGAATATTGGGCCCGTGATTTCTCTCCGCGGCCCCGAATATTATAATTAGGTTTTGGTATCATCATTCATTATCAACATCGACAATATTATGATGCACGTCCGGCAAACAACGCAGCGATAATATTATATTATAGCATTATAGTATTAGGCAGATGCGTATCCGGGATTTCTTCAATAGAAAGGGGGAGAGGTAATCGACTAAAAAAAATATGTTTTGCAAAGTACATGGGTATATAATTATTATGATGCAGTCAGAATCATGTTAAGCTAACAGGCATTCAAAAACATCGATTTTTAAGCACCCCCTCTGAAAGTCTTATTTGGGGATGATTTGGAGGTTAATTCTCTCCAATTTCGTTTTGTTATTTTTCAATTTTATTATATTTTTAAAATTTTACTTCCGTCAAATAAAATTCCTCCTCAATCCTAAGTTGTTTTCTAGGTACACATACTATGCGTTACTAGGTTGCACTTCTAGTTATCAAACAATATTCATTATAATTCTAAGAGAAGCGTTTGAAAATAAAACAACTAACAAGTAACATAATAAATAATAATATAGTGTTGATGTTATTGTTATTTCGAGTTTTACATTGAGCCGAGCGCCCCATAGTTTTAAAATCTTCGGCGCCCTCGTTTCCTTCCTCTTTACGACACGGTCTTGCAGGTCAACAGTATGCAGTTAGCAGGATGCAGTACAATTATTTGTAATTAGTTGAATAAGTATAGTGCGCATATTCAACGATTGTAATTTTATTAGTAAATATGAGCTTTCAATACTGAATAGTTAATAATATGTTTTGTTTTTGTGTATAATACAGTCAATAGTTGATGTTTCCTTAAGGTACGCCGCTGGTATTATGTAACTATAGGTATAATCAAGAAAAATAAATAGGCAACAATAATATTAAAAAAATCAATATAAATAATAATATAATAATATTACTTAAATACTCTGTAAATCACCGAAACAAGAAAAACCTATAGCCTTAATTTGTATAAAAATTGTAATGTTATCTAGGTATTAAGGCGTGTAGAATAACGCTTTCCGGAAAATATTGTTAACCTCGTATAGCTGATATAGGTAAGGTATTGTTATTGGTAAACGGTGAACCAAAAGAGAAAATCGTGAAAAAAATAAAAGAAGAGGTATAGATTTACTTTTAGCATATTATATACCTAGTCTTACTCGTTTTCTCTTTGTACAATTTTAACGGTACCTATACCGTATATTTTTTGCAGTGACAGTCGAACTGTATAAGTTAGGTACCTACAGTTAAGTTACCTATAGTTTTCAGTGAACTTAATATATTTAATATAATAAGGGGGTCATGGTCTCTGTTATACCAGATAGTATTAAATAAATATAAACAATTAAAAACTTAATAATACGCCTAATCCTCTTTAATAGATTAATGCCTTATTAATTATTTGGCTACATAACAGTACACAATACTCGAACGTTTCCGCCGCCCTTGTGAAGAAATATACTATAGGAACGATGAATTTTAAAGAAAACAAATTATTCAAGTAATATAATAATGCATGGCTCCGTTTTACAACACGATACGATTTTTAAGATTTCGATTACTTCATCGCGATATCATACCTATCATGAGGTATAATGCCGATTCGACAAGAAAAAACTTTAATTCACTTCACATCATTAATACATTTTACTTGTGTACCAGTGTACCTATATGTATAATACGACTTTTATACCTATATGCATAATATTTTGTTACCTACTAGGTTTAGAGTATTGAAAATAACAAAGTTGTAGTTAATCAATTCTTTGGTTATGAAAAATGTATTTACAAAGTCCTATAACAATTATACGTAGGTACTGATACAAATATAATTATAACTCACTAATCTACAGTTTAAATCTTTGCTCTCCGTACCTATATAAATTCTATAGTTTTTATAACTAATAAGCAATAAAGAGCGATAATATTCCATCGTCTCATGGCCCCCTGTAATAAATAATTATAAGTAGGTAAGTCGTTGAAAATTACAACGAAAGGTAAACAAAAATCATTTTGCCCCCAATGAAAATCGACAACAACAATTCAAAAAGGAGCTGATACTGGGGATTGGAACGGCCACTATTGTAGGTGAGAAGTTGGAAAGGTAGGATACATAAGGTTGTTTCATTTATATCAGTAAGCAACGATAAATCATTGCTTGACGAAAGACGATTCCGAGCGCAGTTCGCATCATTTGAAATGCCGTATTTTTTTTTTTTTTTACGATTTTCGTTTAAATTTGATTTCTAAACGCTTATTAAAAAAAAAAGTCGTTCGACGAATTTTGGAAATTTTACCAAGTCTAGGTAAGTCCAATATAAGTATTATTACCAAGTTTCTCTACGTGTATTTATAACCGAATTACAGCAAACAATTTTCCCAAAAATTTAAATTCATTAAAAGCTCAAAAGTTTTGGCGATGGGACAGTAAGAAAGTAAATCAAAAAGACAACAAAAAAGGTGTCTTATGGTTTTTCGATTAAATCATTTTTTATGGTAGAAAACGTCGTCCGTGTTTTTATAAAATAATGAAATCGTGAAATTTTACGTTTTCCAACGATTTTTCTCAGATGCTTTTATTTAAAAAAGGGCGTTAAAAATGAAAAAATTATTTATTTAAAGTACAATTTAGACAACATGAGCTTTCAAAAAAGTTGCCACACGTAAAAATCGGAGCAAGTTAACTAGAACAAAATAAGGAAAAAAGAAATAAACATCTAATAGCTCCCTCGTTACGCTCGGAATCTAAAATGGATTTCTAATCAAGGTAGCATGTTACACGAGTGGCAATAAGTTATCTTATCTATAAAAAATAAGTTCTATACGCTATACTTATAATTATATTTATATATAGGTACTAGGCTTACGTATCTACCTAAGTAGATACGTATAGTATTACGTCAAAGAATAAACCTACGCCAATAACCGTGGCCAAGACCCAAGAGAGATAAAATTAAATATCAAAATACTACGCGTGGAAGTATAGCTATTAAGTATATTTTGTTAAAACGAAAATGATAAGTAATTATTATTACGTATACAAACGCCATTTTTACAGGTAGATAGGTACTTGAGATACTTTTGACTTTTAAGGTATTTGAGCAGTGGCGCCGAACCTATATATTAGGTATGGTGGTTGAGACACCTAATTTAAGGGTTGGGTATGTACCCCTAGCATTGATAAATTAGCATAAAACATTGCAGATTTTCTATTATAAATTTTAGCATAAAACATTGTATATTTCCTTTAATAATATTTGTTTAATATTGTACCGATTTTCCCATTTTTACCATTTTTTTTCCATATTTGCTGGGATAACTATTGGAAAAATCGAAAAATGACCTAACTAAAAGTATCTTCCCAGCCAGATTTTCTTCAGAAAAAGTGCTATCCTTGTCGGAGCAAAATTGCTGGCAAAGTTCACATGAAAAAAAAAAAAATTAATAAACATTAAGTGTTTTAGGTACCAAACTTAAAAACTGTGATTTTCAGTTATACCACTTATCTTGCCGTATTTTCTTGTATTTACAATATTAAATAAGTTAAACTAGTTAAATCGAGAAATTATGGTAAGTTATTAAGGAAAATAATAAGTGGCTGCAAATGCAATGAGTAGGTTAGGTTAGGTTAACCTATACCTAATGTATTATTCCAAAATAATAAGTACACTATTGCGTTTTCAAATTTCAACACAATAACCAGGTCTTTAATTAATTATTAATTAAGCTGTTTAAATACAATTAGGTAGGCATTCCATTGAACATTAAAGTAGAAATTTTGAAGTCACAATACACGAAAAGCTTTATAAATGACTAATGGTTTTTTATTAATGCAAAAGCTAGTAAAAATAATGTCTATAGTTTGTTAACCTTCATCATATAATTATAATCTCATAGGTACATGATACATTATGTCGATTACCTACTGTTCAAAATAAAAATACATAGATAGGTGTTAAAATATAGTACATGTTTGATATTTGTGCAAATATTAAAACAGTGTAAAGTAGATATGTAAATATACACGAATGGTGACTGGAGGGGGGGGGGCACCTTGGAAATCTGTTTAGTATGAAATAGTAATTTTTCATTTTTTATTAATCCCGGGCCTGTGTAATCTACGGTTTAGAAACTCGGAAATCACCATGTCTCTCTGGGAATCGCAGAAGAAAAATAATTGGTCAGAACCTAAACGATATTTATAAGGTCATATAAATGTTGTGATATTATAACTTGACGTCGCGATATTCTGCGGGACTCGAGACTTCCATTATTCGTCAGTCACGTGTCCGCGGTAGGTTGGTTAACTGTTATATGCGTTCTTAGCTCGGGTTTTCAATTTCTTATTGATTTTGTTGAAAAAAAAAGACAAGACGGACGAGCGTCGGTTCCGCAAAACGAATCTCTCCGACCCGAAGAGAGATGGAATAGAAAAAATACAAAAGTGCCAAGTAGGTAATCGCATTATAACAGGTGCAGCCTGCAGGCGGGACGGCAAGCGAGGAGGCCAAATAAACTGTGTTATTGACAAAACAGCTGTGAACAGATTTTTTTTTTTTTTTTTATCGTGTTATTTATTGTTCGCCGGCCGGGAGGCGGTGCACGCGACCAATGATAACGTATCTATGGACAATGCGTAAATGCGAATTCGAAACTTCGAACCTTAATAAATAATAACATTTCCGTAGTTTCGTGACCGTCACGACTCGCTGCTGTGTTCCGCAACCCGTTACGGTACTACTCGAAACGACGTCGACAGTGAAACTGCGTTTTTCTCCGCGAGTGCCCGGTGCGTTTATAATACTAATTGTTATAGTTCTAGCGCAGTATTATCACGTCTGGTCGATCGTCTTCGAAAACAACGATAAAAACATAGGTAACAATTAGATCACGTGCCGGGGACGAACTATGAGCGCCGACGATCGACAGTCGAGAATCGAAGATCTAGACATCACCAAACAAGAATTGGACAGTATCGGCGAGGCGTTGAAAAATGAACAGTTCCGGAAATTGTTGTGCGAGTACGTCGACGAAATCAACGACCCCGAGAACCGGGCGTTGTACGAACGAGAGATCGAACAGTACGAGCGGGAACGGGGTACGCAAGTGCAGTTCGTGCGACCGGAGCCCGGTTACGTGGTGAAGACCAGCGCCAACGGCGTGCGAAAGGTATTTGTCAACATTTGTGCGTGCGACGTAGTCAAGAAGCCCGTCAGCCGGCCGGGCACCGGTGGCGATCACTGGTCGCTGCCCAACTGTATGTCCCCGGTCCGAGAGGATTACGACAAAGCGCGCAAACCGTGCGACGTTTACGACGTGATCTTTCATCCCGACGTACTCGCACTGGCCAAGCAAGGCGGTAATCTGAAAAACATGGTCGAAGACACCGCGCTCAGTATGATCGAAAAGAACAACAACGTGGTTTTGGACAAGACCAATCTCAAGTATCCGAAAATCTCGTTTAAAGGTATCTCCAGATCGTTGGTGATCCGGAAACAAATCAAGGACTTCCGGCAATCTGCCGAGCGGGAGACGACCGAAATACCCGGATGCCCTTACAAGCCACCGGTTGAGCGACCGATTCAACATCACGATCTGGGCTTGTTGAAACAAAAATCGTTGTTCACTGTTCCTAAGTATTTAATTAAATACCGTTCAGACATAGACATTCAAGAACACGGATATAATATGCATTGTAAAATGAATGCAGTTATACCTAAAGAACTAATTGTTGAAATAAATTTACCACTTTTGGATTCTTCGGCCAATATGGAGCTCGATGTGCTTTCAAAGTCCTTAAAGTTAGTTTGCCATAAACCTTCAAAGTATAAACTTGAAATTAATTTACCTTATAATGTAATGGAAGAAGAAGGTAATGCTACATTTGATCAAAGCACTAAAAAACTAACTGTAACCCTTCCAGTTTTGAGAAATGAACCCTCGTTGGATTATGTAAATAATTTTGTTACCGAATTAGAAATGCCGAAAGATGAACAATGTGCAATTAGTCACAATATTAATAGTGATTTAGAAACAATTGTGAACAATAGTGAAAATAATATTAATGGCTTTGTGGATGAAACTATGAATAATAATGAAATCATAGTTACAAATGGTCATTGCGACGAAAACACAAATGATCATGAGATTGACACTGAATGCAATAACAATAATAATATCTCTGAAAACGATATCAACTATAGCCTGCCTGAACACGAATTTATTTACGGAAATAAATGTATTCTTAAGTTCAATGTAAAGAATGTTGACCCGTCATCAATTAATGTGATAGTTATTAGTGATACAAATTTGATCTCTGGCAAATTCCATTCCATAGGTTCGGGATTTTTCCCCATTTGGTTTGCATTTTGCCTACAAATTCCATTCAAATCGAGCTTATTAAAGCCTGACGTCAAAGTACTGCCTACTGATATAAATGTAACCTTAGAATTCTTTTTAAATTTTAAACCAAACTGTAAACAATATTTTTATGGGCTTAACAAAGATAGCTTAACTATTCAGGGTATTAGAATAAAAACACTTAAAGAAAATTCAAAATCTTTGGCCAATGGTGTGTCAATTGTGTTGAATGACAGTGATGATGATATTGATGACGATAATGAGTTTGATGACAAAGCAGAAATTCAATTAAAGGACCAAAGAGTACAGAACACAAAAAAAAATGACTGTCAATATAAAGATAAAAGTGGTAAAACCGTCAAGGTAAAACGTAAAAAGAAAGGAAAAAATATTCAAAAGTCAAATGCCATACCAATCGTTAGTACGGATAATTTAGCAGAATCTGGAAAAAAAATGGATTTTATACCTGGATCATTGCCTACAGAATTAAATATGAGACCAATAATTGTGAGTAAAATATTCATGATAAATAGATAATTGTATAGTAATTTATTAAAACTTAGTTATGATTTTTTTCAACAGCGTGGAATATTGAAAAAAAGATCTCAATCCGAATGCAGTACTATTGATGATAAAGATAATATATCCCCTCGAATGTATAGTTCATCTGTGGACAATGTAGACACTGAAAGTTCTGATGTATTTGAAATGAGTTATAACGATTTTAACAATAAAAAAACAGTTCGTTTCAATGACCATGTCATTGAAAAGAAGATCAAGTATGTATTATAAAATTGAAAAATTCTATTTTAGTCTCATGAATACAGTCAATAAATTAGAATTATACTGTATAATTTAATATTATATTTATTTTTAGCCTTAACATAAGCATAGCAGCACAAGCAAAAAAACATCGACAGCGTCAACAACGTAAACGTAATATACGAGAGTACAGTACTCCTAGTGAAAGCGAAGTGTCTGAAGCTGAAGATAAACCATATGGTCCATTGAATATGGTTTCAGAAAGTGAAGAGACCAGTGTATCAGAGAGTAGTGCTGGTGAAATGTCTGATGATAATAGTAATGGTTCAAATATGAAATCATCAAATACAGTTTTACCAAACTCTAAGAAAGACCATAAACGACGTAAGAGCAAATCAGCCCGAAAAAATGCTTCGCTTGCTAAACAGACAGCATTTAATAATTTAATGTTCCCTATTGAATACTGAGAAATATTGAATTGATTTTGTTATCTTATACCTCCATAAAAAATGTTTATTTATATTATATTAAATTATTTGTACACATTTTTATAGAAATATTTTTTGGGTGCTTAGTTTTTTTTATTTGAAAAATTTATTTTGTGTAGTTTTTATTATTGAATTATTGATGTTTTATTTGTTTTTACTCCACATTGGTTGATTACATTTTTTGAATACTGTTGCAATTTTGAATGTTAAAAAATATTGTACAACTCAAGTAAAATTAATTCAAGCTCATTTTTGGTTTTGGTTATTATTTATGATATTTTAAAAAAAAAAAAAGAATTAATTCAATATAATACTTTTTAATCAAATTTTTTAAATAAAACAAACATATTAGATGTGTGTTGTTGTGTGTGATAACACGCAAACAAAATGTAATTATTGATTTAACAATTAGGCACTTGACCACTAATGATACTTAAAGAGGGATCATTTTTTAAATTTCTCAGGTTTAAATACAACAATGCTTTTAATATTTTAATATATCCATGTTATCCATGTAATTTGTATATAATAAAGTGGTCAACCCAAGGTGCAAAGTATGTCAATCTTTTAGTATTATAATGTTAAAATCCTATTAATGTATACTTTTAAGTTAAACAGTAAATAATAATTTAGTACCTCGTACCATAAACATATACAATTTAACTAAACATCTATGGTTTGAATGCAATGTAAATTTAATACCATATTTATAAATCTATAAATTAGTTACAAACAATTTTACGTTTAAGCCATTAATTCTGGTTTGCAATAAATCTCAACTGTTATATTTTTAATAACTACTATAAAATTGTTGGGTTCAAAACAGTAAATATATCAAATTGTCACTAAAAACTATCATGGCCAATTTAAAAAAAAGATTTGATACTGTAGATAGGAGTTAGGAAGGTAGTATACAAGGTAGGTATACAAAGTTATTTAATTTATATTTACACGCAATGATAAACCATTGTCGGTAACGGTCACATGTATAACGGTTCACTGGTATCATAAGTGATCTACAATGTCTTTTGCTAATTATGATAAGGTCCCATTATGGATCAAGAATATAATGTAAAACGATTATAATATTATATTATTAGGAGAATTACGAGATTAAAACTATAATTGATAAACATGATTCTTTTAATATTAGGTATAATAGTTGTCAATTTCTTGGCTTTACCATAAAATGATATTTTGTCCATTGACTATTAAGTATTAGTACATATGAATGAAATACTTACTTATTATTTTGTGGGAGACTTGTTTTTTGTGATTATAACAAAAATATTATATTTGTACGTTTTATTTTGTCTAACAGAATACTTACGAGACCACTGAGCAAAATGTAGACCTCGAAAATTATAATATTGATCCCTTACAAAAAAAAACGATTTTGAGTGAAGTTTGGTTAACGTATTTTGAAAATACGATTTTCTTCAAATTTTGAAATTTGAATCCTTATAATAAAAATTAATATAGTAAGGTAAGCTTAATTTTTTTAACCATCAAATACAACTTGTGATGAACTTCAAATTAAATTTTCAAACATTTCTGCTCTTCTAAAATAAACGTATCCATGTAAAATCAAATAAAAACTAGAACATATGAGATGTAAGTAAATAAATATAAGAATGTTATGAGAATATTACTCAAGGTGCATCAAGGGCTGTATTTGACGGAAAATAAAGTCGTAATGTGTTAATTTTGCATACATGCATTTTAAGTTCAAATATTGACGAACATAATAAAAATCACGGTATTTCGAAACATGTTTAATCAAATTTCACTCGACGTTTATAATCGTTTTAAGTTGTCAATGGTTTAGCGTTCTCTACAGGTATAAATTAGGTAAATTACTTATTATAATTGTGTAATACCTATTATAGTAAGTAGGTAACTTATTAACTAACTACCAATTCAGCAAAAATGACAGGTCTCTGCGATGATTTTTACCGAAATAAAACAAAAATAACAACTTTTATTAGGTAGGTGTACCTACCGTAAATTCGTCAGTTTAACCCAATTAAGAAAATGACTTGCGAATTAAAAAAAAAAAAAAAAGAGCTCGCAAGTAGGTACTGAGGACGGGTGTGCCACTATTTTAAATGGAAAGGTAAGATACATAAAGTTAATTGATTTATATTTGTAAGTAACTATAAACCATTGCTAATAAAAAACGATTCGGAGCGAAGTTCAGTTATACATGTTTTGAAAGGCCATAATACTTACGATTTTTATTAAAATTTGATATTAAATTCTTATATAAAAAAAAATACCACCTATATTACACTCGTTTTTTTTTTTATTACCTCGAAGTACGACTTATTATGAACCTCCGGTTGAATTTTCTATCATTTCTCTTTAGTCTAACAATATTATCCATAGAGTAAGTACCTACTACATAAAAATTACATGAAAGTCGCAAAATTTAAATGTCTATAATTAGCTAAAAAAAAATGTTTCAATGTTTTAAAATTGTACAGTCTAGCAAACGTTTGTTTGTTGTCAAAATTTCAAGTCTCAACAAATATTATTTCCTAAATTACAACACAAACAATTGAAAATAATATTATTAATAAAAACCGTTATTTTCGTAAATTCTCAGAATTTTTCTACTAAAATTCGGTTTAGGTTGATTAAAAAACTACATGGAAAATAAAAAAACTGCTTTACCCCATCAAAAAGATTAAAAATTTAACAAAATATATCACTTGTGGTTTTTCTATTAGACCAATAATTTTGGTAGAAAAAAATTTACAAATTTAAAATAATCAAACAAAAACGCCGTAAATTTGTTCGTTTTTAATTTTTCGTCTTTCTGGTTTTTCCAACTGTTATAAAAATTAATTAGAAAATCAAAAATAATCTAAATGTACCAACTAGATAATATTTTATTTCAGAAAAAGTGCTACACTTGATACATTGAAGTAAGTTTTCTGATAGAAAAGTAGCTCACAGTCACAGACACAAAAAAATAAACACATAGTAAAACTAATAAATTTTCCGCTACACTGAGAATGTTAATTTCTAAAATTCAAAATTTGAACTGATATTTGGAATTGTAACATGAATGACTTTGTATTTTTAAGATGTTTGTTATTAGTTTCTAGATTTGGCCAACAGATTTGCTATAAAAAGACAGATTTGCTTAAACAATTTTAAATTCAAAATTTAAATGTCTATAAGTAGCTAATAAAAAATGGCTCAAATGTTTTAAAAATTTGATTATGTTTAAAAAAGGTAAATATAAGTTTTCTGTCTAAATTTTAAGTCTCTACTCAGTTTTTAACTGAATTACAACAAAAAAATAAAATAATAAAAGCATTATTTTTGTAAATGTTCCTAAATTTTTTCCGAATTATTATGAAAACTACTTGGAATTATTTTCTTATACATTTAAATCGTGAAATAGGCAAATCAAGTTTTACAATTTACTCAATTTGTGAATTGTGCAAATAAATAGTATACATATAAATAATTTGTATACAAAACAAATATTTCAATAATAATCAACTTATACAGGTTCTCAGTTTAATTTAATTATTAAATTAGTAATGAATCACACGTAATATGTTATATAATATAAATTATGTTCTATAATAATTTATTTCTTAAACATAATTTAATTGTAGAGTGATAATTGACTAGTCTAAAAATTGCACTGCAAAAATAATAATTACTTATTATGTGAAATAAAAAAAAAAATAGAAAATATTTCTGAACAACAAAAATAAATATGATTATTGAAGAAAAATATGAACTAATATAAATTAACCAATATTGGTTTGTATTTATAAACTTAAATTGAGCAATATCTCATAGATATTACTTTTCTCTTAACATTAATCGTATTTAATAAAGTATCACTTTGTTTTGCATCTTTGGAAAAGTTATTTAGGTAACGTAATACCAATTATTAATTAAAATATTATGTCCACATAAAAATAAAATAAATTAAATTTGAACTAAGAGATCAATTTAAACAAATGTCCAAGAGAGTTAAATTTAGAGCCTATTATGAATATTGAGCAATCAGTAGTGCATTTGTAATTTTTTTTTTAACACTAGATAGGTAAGCACTTTTAACAGAAAGTAAATGCTGGTAACAATAATAAAATTGAACCAATACTTGTTAACTGACATATCTAGACCTTTCAATACATTTGATGGCAAAGAGTTGTAACAGTAAATCTGAAAAATTTATAATAATTAGAAATAAAATTTTGAACATTAAAATTTGCAGTCAATATGAATATCTTACCTTGGGACAATATAATCTGGGGCGATCTAAACCATAAACACAATGCATTATTCCTTCCATGGCGTGTTTCATAAAAGAAATGTCAAACAACCATCGAAACATTTCTGGTGTATCAGATATTTTAATAAAAATACCTCCAAACATCATCCAAGGCATAAGTAAAAAACTCGTTAAAATTGTGCTGAACTATTTAAATTGTTAAAAATTAATAAACTTATTATGAATATAAATTAAAACTATTTTGTATAATTACTCTTAAGTCATTGAAGAGTGTTCCGATAAGCATACCAATAGTCTGTGACAACAATCCTACCATTAACATCATAAGGGTGTATAATGCAAACCTGGGCCATTCAAGTGGTTGTCCAGTAAAATAGTACAAAACGGCACAGTACATAAATGTACAAACGGTCTACAAAGAGTTATAAAATAATTTATTAAAATCAATAAAATGATGATAAATTACAAGTAAATAAATACCTAAGCTAAAGCTAAACAAATATATACTCAAGTTATACTTAATTTATTTACTACACTTAAAAAATATCAAATTGTTTCAAATAAATTTAAAACAACAATAAATTCTTAGAATTTGTGATTTTTTTTTCAAAAAATATTTTTAGTTATAAATTACCTGAATTGGTAAATCTATTATTGTAAAACTCAGATAATATGATGATAATGAATACCATTGATTGAAATGTTCTTTTGAAAGAATTGGTATTTCTAAAGGAACTGTAATATAAAATTATTAATAAAGTGCACGCATATAAACTTATTTTAGTATGTATTAAATTATTATAATAATCTGTTACCATCATACAATTTATTATCATTGAAGAACTAGCAGTATACATAATAAACAATAAACTGAAGAACAACAACATAAGATTGTCATGAATGAATGATGCGTTAACACCAACACTAAAATATACCCAACCGTATACAGCACTAACAATAATGTGAACCAATAATCTTGTAGTGACAAACTGTTAACACAAGACAATATCATAAATATATTATTTTGGTGACAAATTTCAATTCAAATTCTAAATACTTTTTCTCTTAAAACTTTAACAGCACATCTATGCAATAATATAATGAACTGAATTAAGTGATAGTAATGATTTTGTTTTGCACACTTTTTTTCTTTAATTTTATCACTGACTAGAACAGTTGGTACCTGATTTTCTGTAAAGTACAAATTTTTCACATTATAGGTTTATGTAAGTTTTATTGAAAATTGTACTTAATATTTGATTGTTTGTTATAAGAAACAAACAGACATACTTCGCACGATAGGTAGCCCTTTGTTGTATGTGAGAAGTTTGGTAGGTAGAGGGGAAATTTAAAGTATAGCTGTATGCACAAATTAATCATTGCCACCGAAAAATTATTCTGAGCTTAGTTCAGTTATACATATTTTAAAAGACTGCAATATTTACGATTTGAAAATAATATATTTCGTACATTTTCTCATTTATTACAAAAACCCCTGGGAAAATCAAAAAATGATTTCCCTAAAGTACCACTTCAGTCTAAATTTTTTTCAGAAAAAGTGCTACACTAGAAAATCCGAGTAAAATTTCCAGTATAAAAGATCTTCATAGAACAAAAAAAAAGACATCATTATAAAACTAATACATTTCTCACTCAGAATCTAAAAAATATTAAAACAGAACATAGGTATATGGTGAAATACTCTATAATTTTACAGAACTTACATCTTAAATCAATGGGTCCCTACCCAAAATTTATTTTGATAAACAATACTAAAAATTTAATTACAAAAATATTACTAATTAGAAAATATTTATAATTTTTACCAACCTAAAACTAAATGTTCTTGAATATTACTTCCAAACCATTCTGTAGATTTTCCGTTGTTAATATACTTTACCAGTTTTTCTGCTTGATCACCATACTCTCCAACACTTATTTCAATAACTATAAGAACCATTAATTTATTTTATAATGTTTATACATAATACTATGATGTAAATTATTATTTCACTAACTGTAGTCTGCAGTATTGTGATACAATGGACATCGTAGACCTTGAATGGCTAGATAATCTAATAGATTTGATGTCATACCATGGTAAATACACTGGCCAGATGGAGTGAGTATATAGAGGATATCAAATTGCTTTAACTGTGAAGCGGAAGCTTGGTGTATTGTACAAACTATGGTACGGCCAGAATTGGCGAGATCCTTTAATGTAACCAAAACTTGTTTTGCTGATGAACTATCCAGTCCGCTAGTTTATATGATAATAATAATTATAAATAATTGAACGCCAAAGAATATACTAATATAGTTGAACATTTAATAGAAATTACTATTTAAATAATAATTTGATAATAATTTTTGAATAATAATTCATTCAGACTTTTAAATCTAATTATTTGATATTATATTAAAACAACAAGAATGTAGCTCACCTAGTAGGTTCATCGAAAAACATGATATTTGGATTGTGAATTAGTTCTAATGCAATTGATAGTTTTCTACGTTCACCTCCTGACAAATGCATTGTAAATGTATTTTGAATTTTCAGAAGGTTTAGATTTTCCAAAATGTAGTCTATCTAAAATTGTTGCTGATTAATGATTTGAAATTATTAAAAGTTTAATTTAAATTTTACCATTTCAATTTTACATTCATCCAATGATAATGTTAAACATTTTAATTTTGATGCAAATTCCATTGCTTCTCTAACTGTTAATTGCTCATGTAGATGGTCTTCTTGCATTATATAACATGATTGTTTTTTAAATGAATCCATTTCCAGAGGTTTGTTGTTAGTCAAAATTGTTCCTGAATAACCGCTAGACCTTATAAATAAAATAATATCCACTATATTCAGTGTTGTAAAATAAGAAGAGACAAATTAGCAGTAAGGATTTTAATGAAAATAAACAGGAAGAAAAAGGGAAGAAGAAGATTGAAAAAGAGGAAGTTGAATGTCATTGAATGCATCTGGTGTATATATGGTGGGAGATTGGGTCAAGTATAAGACAAGGGTGGGTGATCCCAAAAAGTTAGGATGAAGGAAAAGGAGAAGATATTCAGTATTATAAATAAATATTATTTAAACATTTTAAATCACTTCAATACTAAATTATTTCTTCAATCTTCTTTTTGTTTTCGTCTTCAATAACAATGATAAGATCTTATAATCAGCTACTTAACTATAATCTAACTACTATAATCAGCTTTAACTTCCATCAACTATTTTCATAACATTATTTACTGCCACTATCTCTTCTCTCCGTACAACAAACCGAAGCCATCTCAATCTATTCTCTCTAATGTTTATCAATTATTAGTTAACTTTTATGTACAAATTTCTTTTTTGTCTTCTTTCTTTTATCTTTTAACTCCATACACTTGTCTAGATGATTTATCTAGTTAATAAAAACACAATTTAACTCACTTGTAACCAGATAATGCATTTAATAGAGATGTTTTACCAGACCCTGAACATCCAATAATTGCACATAGTTTACCATGATAGAACGCACCACTGACACCATTTAGAATAGTTTTTTTTTCTGTAAATAATGTATTATCAAAAATAGTATTCTTACAATATTTTTACACAATAGCTATTTTACACAATTTAATCCATACCTATTTTTAATAAGTCTGTCCAGGTGTTTACTTCATATGTCAAATTCAAAAATCTTAAGTCTAGTCCTTTGTTTGACAACAAAGAATTCAATTCCATGTTAAATGATTACCAAACTAATATTTTCTAGTACCTAGATATTTAGACATCTTAATTAATACATTTTATGAATACACTTCTGTAAAAAAAATAAATAAGACAGATCAAAGTTCAATATAACAGAAATAAAAACTACATTACAGTAGGTACTGATTAGGAACAGTTTTAAATATTACTACTTAGTAATCCATATTAACAAAATAAAAATATAAAACATTCAGACATATTTCATTGATTAGATAAGCAGGTACTAATAAAAATAAAAATGGCTTTAATTGTATTTAGTCATAATTTATATAATGTACTGAAACTTAATTAAAATATTTATTTTTATTAGCTTTTAGTCAGACTATAACAGTTCGATAATTATTTTAAATACATTTTAAGTACATAAAGAATTTATTTAGTATATTATAATTAATATTTTTATTCCTCTTTGATAATTGTTTTCAGTGCAAAAACTTCATACATAAAAATAAAATAAGATTTTTCTTAATAATTATGGAACAATCAATAATAATATAAAATTCATAAGATTATTGAACATAATTTTGATTTATTACGATTAGAACGTTTTTTCTGATTTATGATAATGTATGCAAAGTAAGCGTTTCATAAAAATGTAAATATAATCAAAATCATTTTTAGTGCATATTTAAAAGAATTATGGTACTTGCAATAAAATATGGGTTACATTTATTTAAATTCAATATTATCAAAGTAGAAAATTACAATACTTTAATTATCAATGATTTTTTTAAATTTAAATTTAGAAAGAAATTCATAAATTATTTTCTTTAGACAAATTTCGAGAAACATATTGTACATAGACTCGTTGTATGTGAATTTATCCATAATTAATTTTTTTTTTGTTAATCTCAACAAAATAGTACTTATTCATTTTGATATACTTTGATGAATAAGTATCCAACATACCAGACCAGCGAGAAAACGTGTCAATGTGATATACCCATACATTTTTAAATAGTTTAAATTGTCATTTTTAACAGGATGTAAATTGTCAAAAAATTTAGAATTTTTAATATTGGTAATTAAAGATAACGGATGATCTCGTGCAGACAAAGTGGTGGGAGTAGGCAAACGTGTGTCATACACTCGTTAACAAAAGGGCGCAGTAAATAAGATAACACGTACCTACGTCATCGAATGCGTATGGATTCAAAAGGCTGAATTTCAGAAGGACAAAACGAATAAATACAAATAATCAATAAAAAGTTTAGGTGGAAACCTGTTGAACGCGGGAAATCATAGGAACCACCAAAAAAACTATGGACAAATAGCAATAATTAATAATAAATAAATAATTTTCATAATGCGATAATAGTCGTTTACATACGTCTTGTCAATATAATAATTTTGAAGATAACTCGCAAAGCCATCGAAAAGACAACCGGGAGTGGCGTACGTATATGGGCGTGTACAGCTAAACGTTAAATTGAAATAAAATCGAATAGATTTACGCTCGTTTTCCAATTTTCAGAGCGTTTCTTCACGATTGTCCACATGATCGTCGTGATCGGCCTAGAATTTGTTCTGTGTCTGAGTGTTTATTAAAATATTATTTTATCGGTTCACCTTGATTTCATATACGGTCGCGGACAAGGAAGTTCGTTTTGTGTTTTAATATCCTCGACTAAATTGTCAATAACAATAATAATATTGTCGTAAGGAAATGCGCACCGGTCACTGTGCACTGAGTAATTTTGTTTGTTCTTCAATAACAATGTACTGCATTATTAATTGTTCGTGTTTTTTTATTGTCCCACGAATATTGTGGAACGATTTTCGAATAGAATGGTAATTAGGTACTAATTACTAATCTCGTTAAATTGAAATCGTTACTATCTGTTATCTGCGACAAAATCGCGAACCGATGCCATCGGGTGTGCGGTGTAGCCAGAGTAGGATATCGTCTTCTTCTAGTATCCCCCTAGGATTTCTGTCGCCAGGCGGCACTGTTTTTTTTTTTTTTTTTTCCCCAAAGTCCAAAAAGCAGTATTACCACAAAAGTACGACTACTCACAATAGGGTTTCGTATCAGAATTCACATTTCTGTATTATAGCCGTACCAAACATACTGCACGTGGTTCATACTAAGTAATCTTAATTCACATTAATTTATAACGTTGATAATAATTGTATAATTTTAGGTAAATGAAAACGAAAAAATTGCACTCACAACTACGCGGCTACGTTGGTCGGCTGATAGTGATGGTCGCTCTTTAAATAAAACAAATCTTTGTATCGAACCGAAAAAACCGTCCAATTAACTGTTGATGTATGTTTTATTCACAATGCCGATGGTAATTTTAAATTAATTAAATCGGCCGGGCAATTATTCAAGGACCGCTCAATAATCGACGCGATGAATTAATTGCCAACTGAAATTTCTACACTTAAAACTACTCTTTTCGTTGATACTTCGGCGCTATACAGTCATGTCCCGTATTGTTTTACAAATTAGGTTTAATTAGATACATATATGCAAACCGGATAACACGACCAGTTTTTTATCAGATTTTTCTATTTGAGGTACCTACCGAATAGAGTAGTCACATGGATAGCCTTGAGATTTCCGACACGGAATTTGGACTCCGCCTAGGTGTGAACGAATTGTTTTCGGGCTATGGAAACATGTTTGTTATACCCAGTTATGGCTTCGTTATAATTATTTGGCACCATTGATTCGGCCTTATCGTCTGTCTGACTATCGTCTCTTATTCACTAAAGATCAGCATCGGCCGTTTTTTTTAAATTTTAAGTCCAACCTGATCAGGCCCGTTCGTAAATTTAGATTCGGAGCGTAGCGAAAGATCTATTGGTTTTATTTAAGTTAAACCGGCCATAACTTAATCCGACCGTAAATTTGTATGTAAAACTCGGGTCAGTTTGACCTTATATATTTTATAAGGTGCGGTTTTATTTAACATTTTCACTGCTGACCAACCAAAATTACCCTAAATACATCCACAGTTGAATACGCAGATGACGAAGTTATCTCCATAGAGTTATCTTCCTGTAGTGACCTAGTCATAGTCTCTAATAACTTCCAAAACAACACAATCTATTACTCACTTGGTTAACTAAGTGGAGATTCAAAATTTAACACCCCCAAATTAATGCACATAACGTTTACCTTTCGTTAAGGCATTTCTCCTCAAGTAAACTCAAAAAATATTACATAATTCCTAAACAAACCTAACCTAACGATCGTTATTTAGGTATGTTCTTAGACTAGCGACTTTACCTGATCTTGTCATATTAAAATGAAACTACTGCTATTTTTAATAATAAAAAAAAAAAAAATAACTGATAATGGGAATGGGAGCAGCCACTGTTGTAGGTGAGAAATTGGAAACGTAGGATACATAAGGTTATTTTATTTATACCTTAAGCAACGATAAACCATTGCTAACAAAAGACTATTCAGAGCGCAATTCGGTAATAAAACATTTGAAGTGCCGTAATTTTTTTAACATAACCTTCCCACGTTTCTTCCCGATTAGTATGAAAAATAATTAGAAAACCAAAAAAACGAATTGCATCATTAAAAACAAGATTAATAATTCAACAAATACGGTCGCTTATCGTTTTTAGATTGGAGCCATATTTACGTTAAAAAACGTTGTAAGTATTTATTTAAAATAACGAAATCGTATTTTTTTTTCCCGGTTAATCGTTGTTATATTATATACAGTTTTGAAAATCAAAAAGTGACCTATGTATTTACCAAGTAGATAAAATTGACTTTCAAAAAAGATGCTACAATTATACATTGGAGCGTGTTTTCTAGGATAAAAGTGGTCTACAGTATATGAAAAAAAAATTAAAATAAAATACCACTGTAAAAAAATTAAAATAAGGAAAAAAGTCGTCCGATAATTTTGGAAATTTTACCACGTCTAGTTAAGTCCAATAAAAGTATTCTTATCAAGTTTTAAGTCTTTACATGTATTTATAACCGAATTACAACAAAAAACTCCCAAAAATTAAAATTCCTTAAAAGCTCAAAAGTAACTTAAAAGTTTTGACGATGATACCGTAAGAAAGTAAATCAAAAAGACAATCAAAAAGGTGTCGTGTGATTTTTCGATGAAATAATTTTTTCTGGTAGAAAACATCGTCCGTGTTTTTATAAAATAATGAAATCGTAAAATTGTACGTTTCCCTACGTTTTTCTCATAAGTAAAATCAACTTGAGCTTTCAGAAAAGTTGCTACACGTAAAAATCGGAGCAAGTTTACTACAGGAAAAAACGTGTCTACAGATTAGAACAAATCAAACAAAATTAAAAATAAACAGCATTGTAAAACCATTAGCCCCCTCGCTACGCTCGAAATCCAAAATAGAGAAAAAGATACGGACATACTTCGTGCGATGGGTGGGTCACTGTTGTTAATGAGAAGTTGGGAAAGTAAGATATAGAGCGGCATTTAATGTACGTATTATGTAACGATTAAACATAACAATAACATATGTACTTATGTATACAATATACTACTTACCGGTTCTATACGATTTGTAAACATTTTTCCTTTACACACAATTATCGAATATTTCCAACGAATATCATTCGAATTTATTTGAAGTATTGTATATTCAAAACCATCTTTGGTCAATTTTGGTTTTAATTTAGTAGAAATTGTTGCAATCGCCACAGTCCTACTACCACTAGTTTATTGTTAAAATCGTTTTCAAATGATAAAGATTAAATTTATTTCGATCGGGAAATATTGTAGAAATGTTTAAAACTATTATTGATTATTAATAATACCCGGTTACTTCCTAACTCACTACCGATAATACTTTTATTTGAAACTGATAGTAGTTAATAATTTAGATCGGGGAAATATTGTAAAAGTTAGAAAATTACTATCGATAATAATCCACGTAAAACTCCACATATAAACGGCAAATATAGTTTTTACTCTGTGAACACGTTTTCTCCTACTAAAATTACTCAAAAGTATCAAGTGTAGTATCTTTACAGAAAGGTAATTTTCGTGGGAAGGTACTTAAAGGAAATTATTTTTCGATTTTCGAAACTCTACTCGAAATAAAAGTGATTAAGCGGAAAAAAACGTGCGATTCATGATTTTATTATTTTAAATAATTACGGACGACGTTTTCTATCAAAAATATAGTTCAAATTGAAAAATGACAAGAGACCTTTTTTACTGCATTTTGAATAGTTTCTTATGGTTTAAAATCCGAACAATTTTAGCTGTTTTTGAGTTATTTAATTTTGGGAGTTTTTTTTTTGTTGTTCTGTTAAAACCAGTAGTAAAGATTTGAAATTTGGAATGTATACTTATATTGGATTTTCCTAAACGTGGTAAAATTTTCGAAAAATTTGTGAAACTTTTGAGCTATTGATAGAGTAATATAAATATATAATTTTTGATAGGTACCTAGTATGTGGATAAGGCTGTCTGTTGGATTGTTCATAATTAACCCATCCTCTGTATCAAACATCCCATACTCAAGTGTCCCTAATTTTCATGGAGCAGTGTTTCTATCCCCGTCTTGCCACCGTATCTAAGAAAGCTGGAGTATTATACTTTTCAAAAAGCAATCTATTATTATGTTACAATGTTATGTTTGGATAACACAATATCAGATGTAGGATTAAAAAAAATAAATAATTTATAGGACTAAAATTAATAAATTAAAAAATACATTGTTTTTTTAAAAATGTTTATTTCTTTATATTATTTTCTGATGACTTAGTCAAAACAGGTCATAATAAAATCGAAAAACCAAATATACTTAGGCATATAACTAAATTATTTTGATCATTTATTACTTTAAACCAATTAAGACATAAAACAAAATATCCTAAAAGGCACAAAGTCAAATTTAATAAAATTTATTTTAATTTTTTAAGAGATTTTCAACAATAAGTAGACTTTTTATAAATAAAAAAAAATATTCTTACAATAATATAATATTTAATTTAGTTATGAATAACTAATAGGTAACTCATTAAAATTGTATTATTTTAATTAAACAATACTTTGTATTAATAATATAACAGATCTTTCAATAGGTATCAGGTTATCACATTTTACTATTAAATAACGTAAATAATAATCATGAGAGTTGTTTCGGGTACCTAATGGTTGGTTATTTTAAAATTTAAATTTGAATAAACGTATCAATAAACTATCTCTTAATGTAATAATAAAAAAAAAATAGGGTAATTTTTGTTTCTGATTAATTTAAGTAGTAGACAATTTATACTTTAAAGCAATAAAAGAACTTATTTTTAACACAAAGTAAATACTAGTAATAAAGCTGACATTTATCCAATACAAGTTATCAGCCATATCAATTGTTTTAAGCATTACTTTTGGTGAACCATATGGACAAAAAATCTATAGAAAAAGAAACAAAAATGTAATACAAATTTATTCAATATAATAATATGAATGAAATAATAAGTCATAACATTCATAACTAATAAGTACCAATAAAACAATTTAAGTTTCAGAGTGTAACAAAGAAGCTATTAGTTGCACATTATTTTTTTAATTTGTAAAAAGTTTTTGAGATAATAAAAATAATACAATTTTTTGATACTGTATTATAAAAGATATATCATTAATACTTGATGGTACTTAATTTGAAAAATGTTTTGAACTTTTCAATATTTTACAACTTATTTGCATCATATTTTAAAAAATTCAGATTTTCTGCCAGGCAATACTTTATATTGAAATATTTTCTAAATTTTCAACCGTTTAATTTTAATAATTTAAAAACAGACAGAAAATCTAATTAGTTTTATTTTTGTTGATTTCAGGGTTATCTTAGCAACAAACAAAAAAACACTATCAATACACTCGGAATTATTTTTCTGATTACAATGAAATAAATTAACCCCCCCCCCTATTCAAACTTCCACCAGTCACACCTTTTACATTGACCTACCTGGAGTGAAAAGTACATCCTTCATTTTATTTCATTTTTTTTTTTTTTTTTATGATTCTGATGGGTAATGGAATTTCCTTCTAGTTTTTTATGCATGGGAAAAATTATAAGAAAAATGGAAAAGTTTACAGAAAAAGTTTTTTTATTTTCAATCTAGTATTTTTTGTTATAATTTAGGTAAAAACAAATGTTAAGATCACCAAATACTTATATTAGCTTTCATAACATGGACAAAACATTCTGGAAATTTCAAAATGTGTTTAATCCCGTGTTAGTTGCGTGGTTTTTTGTAATGTCAATAGTCGCGCAATGTACAATTGTACCTGAATACTATTTATTGTTCTATCATTATTTAGATTCAGACTTTGGAGAGTTCTAATGTGTTTAGTAAAATACTAGAAACAAAATAGTAAAAATAGTATTTGGTTAATATGTTTGTAATTTCTCCACTATACAGAAAAATATAGTATCATTGATTTTAATAGAAACCAAATACATATATACATAATCACATTTTTATATTACAATAAAAGTGTCTTGAAAATTTTTGACTGACTCCCCCCCCCCCCGGTACAAAATTATATTCGTATTAAAAACAGCAGTTTCTCTAATGTGCCTATTACTTGATGCAATAATATTCATTTTTATTTCTATAAAACTTATGAATGTATAATTAAATCATACATTTTTATAATATAAATAGGTATTACTTCAATACAAATTGAAAGTGTAGGACGTAGTTAGTTAATATTACTTACATTTGAACAAGGCAATACGGAACGATCAAATCCATACACAGCATGTAGTACACCTTGTACAGAATGTTTCATAAATGATATGTCATATAACCATCGATATATTTCAGGTGTATCTGAAATTCTTATCATACCGCCGGAATAAGTAGTCCAAAACATTAATATCAATGCAACTATAACTGTGTTTATCTAGGACAAATGTATTTTAAATTAATTAATTATACCAGGTATTAGTTTCAATAAAACTTACTACAAAACTCTTGCATAGAGTACTGACAAGCATTCCAATTGCTTGTGACATAAGTCCGGTCACAATAAATATCAATAAAAACATTGAAATCCTAAAAAATATAATAGGCTGGCCGGATAAAAGGTAAATTAATGAACAGAATAAAAATGTACAAAATATCTGAAAACAAAAAAATTATTTAGATCACAATAATGTTAATATTTTATTTTCCTAAAATAGAAATTTTAAATATTATGCTAACTTGTACTGGTAGATCTACAAGTGTTATAGAAATGTAATATGAACTCAATGAATACCATCGGTTGAAATATTCTTTTCGCATTACTGATAACTCTAATGGAACTATCAAATTAAAATAATACAGTAGCTATATTATTATTAAATATTATAGTTTATTTTTAATAAATTTATTGTATTTATTTTTATGGTTTATACAAATACTTACATTTTAGAGACATAGTAAATGAAGCGACATACGTCATAAACATTACACAAAAAAATAACAATACTGCATTGTCTCGAACATGCATAGCGCTCTTTCCAAGCCCCATATAAACAATTCCAAACATGGTACCCAACACAAAGTGCACAAACAGTCTTACATTAACTAAAAACTAAAAACAAAAAAAATGTATTTATTAAAATAACAATTAACCTTAACATATAACTATTTAGTAGATATCAATCATTTACATGATCTCTTAAAGTAGTCAGCAAACTTCTATGCATAAGTATCCAAAGTTCAGGAAAATACTTTGTAGAATACTCTCGATTATAAACTACAGGTTCATTGTCATCACTTTGGCCACTCTGATCTAAAAGAGTAAAATACTAGATATTATTTAATTTAAACCAAAGTTGTGTAACAATCAATTTAACCCATCGTCGATATTGATATGTTTTATAACACAATTGGTATCTTGATAGCATTACGCTAACATTGTTGTTTTTTATTCCTGTGAATTATTTAATGAACTTAGAATAGTGAAACAAAGATTAAAATGTTTATCTAGTTATATCCTACAAAAGTTTGACTTTCAATAGGAAGTATTGATCAGTATTATGTGGGCGGGGTGCTAACATAATGGGAAATTCATCTGCTCATAATACTTACAAATAGAAGTTTATAATTTATTTTTGTAATTATTTTAATATAATATAATATTAATAAGAGATACATGGAGTTTCAAAACTGTATTTTTATTTGAACAAGCAATTCTTAATATAAGTTTATTGTTAGCAAAACGCTAACATTGATACTAATGGGCAATGGCGGGTTAAGTTAATGCTCTTAATTTATTTTTACAAAAATATATATATTGTTTACTAGGTATGTGTTGATCATTTTGGTTTTGTTCTTCAACGAGGTTAACCAATGTGTCAATAGAATTTTCATATTCACCCAAACTTAATTCAATCACTGAATAGATCAAATCAATAAATTTAAATACATAGTTGTATTTTTGTTTAGTGAGGCATTACCAACCATAATCAGCAGGGTTGTGATATATTGGACATTGAAAACCAAGATCTGAAAAATAATTTACTATTTGCGAAGATTTTCCATTATACATGCACTGTCCAAAAGGTGTAAGGACATAAACAGTGTCAAAAGTAGTCAAATGATAAGCAGAAGCTTGATGAATAGTACATATTATTGTTTTCCCAGAATCAGCCAATTTTCGCATAATTTTAATCACTTTATTTGCAGATACTATGTCTAAACCTCTGGTAAGAAAAAAAAAATATATATAATTATTTAAATAGTTTATAATTTATAGATTCAAATATAAGGAATTTACGTGGTGGGTTCATCGAAAAACATCACTTGTGGGCTACGAACTAATTCTAAAGCAATGGTTAATCGCCTTCGTTCACCACCAGATAAAGTATAAACCAAACTGTCTCGTTTATCACATAATAGCAAATTATCCAATAAACTATTAATCTGGGAAAAACCAAATATGAACAAATACATCTTCAATAAACACAAATAGTATGGATTTGATCATTACATTTTAATAATATTATTAGCTCACAGTGGTTCTTTTTTTCATATCTAATTTAATTGTTGAATGTTTGAGCTTCATAGCGATTTCCATGGATTCTTGAACAGTTAAATATAATTGCAAATGATCTTCTTGCATAATGTAGCTTGAAACATTCCTAAATGAAAGTAAATCTCTCCGTGCACCATTTAAAGTCACAGATCCTTGGTAGCCACTTGATCTAGATGATTAACATAATACAACTTATGAAATACAAATCAGATACATAGTGTTAAACATAAAATATGATTAGATTACTCACGTATAACCAGATAAAATGTTCATGAGTGTTGATTTTCCAGATCCAGAACAGCCAAGTATGGCTGTTACTTGGTTTCTATAAAACGAACCACTGACATTTTTTAAAATGGTTTTCTTATCTGAAACACAAGACAGCGTAGGTAATAAAATGCAACCCTATTTTTGCTTTACATTATAAAACTCACCAGGTCTCAATGTCTTGGTCACTAGAGGCTCCCAAATGTTGACCGTCAAGGATAAGTTGTTGAATTCTAAGTCAATACTTTCCATGTTTATGTGTTTGATTCAAAAATTACTTCTTATACTGTCTGGACACCATCAAGCATTCCTGGTCCGTGATCAACTTGGTGATGATTGTACTCACTGAGCTAGACATAAAAAGATAAATTATTCGGGTACATACTTTTGTAGCATTGAATCGTCAAAAAACGGTCGTTTCACAAGACATAAACGACTTAAAAACAACACTATACTTACCCCCATCTTTACATTATAATTATTGTATGCGGCCTTGACGGGACATTCTACAACGCGACGATTAGAGACGATCGGTAACTTATTTACGCGCAGTACCTGTAGCGAACATGATTTAGGATAAAGATAGGAAAATATCATTATGTAGAAATAAAATAAAAATAGGTTCTATAATAAAAAAAAAGCATAAATAATCGTTATCGTCTCGGGGGCGATTCGTAGCAGCTGATCGAAGATAATAAATCGGTCAATGTTTTGATATAACGGCCGAAGATTTCCCCGTTTCTGTACCACAAAAACCACTGTGGCGAATTAATTTATTGTCGAGGCTTTGAGGGGGTTTGTTTTGTAGGAGATTTTGTGGGTCGCTGACGTAAATTCAGAGTAAAAATGATGAATCCGTTTGTACGAGAAAGTGTGGATTAATGTCGATCGTTTATTGTAGATAACTGATAAGTATAATATTGCGGTAAACAAATTCGCAAGTCTGTACTTATCTAGGTACGTAAAATTTGTTTCAAATCAAATTTACCGAAAAAATTCACTTGGCGCGTTAGAAAAGTAATAATATAAACAGTGGGGGCATATCGATTTATCATTTTGTTTACTATCGTTCAATTACTGCACTTGAAAGTCCTTTTCAAAAAAAAAAAAGCTATACTCGTCATTTGAGCACATTGCTTTTATACATTTTATACAAACACTCGTTTGCAATAATGATGATATAATTTTATTACCGTTAATCATAATTATACAGGTGATGTTTATCGGTCCATTAATTATTATTAATGACCGCAATTCAAATTATTAAGTATCTATTAGTACCGACTTAGTATTATTATTTTAGGTTCGGATGATAACCTTTCGCTTGAACTATTCCATATCGATTAACCTACGCGCGGCAACAACGACTACGGTTCAGTTCTTGTAACAATTTTATTGTAATGTAAAGTATCGGCCATGCGAAAATAAAAATAAAATATTGTAGATACCTACGTAATAATTATTTGCCAAACTATAATGATTATTATCATATTTTAAATTATGTCCGGGCGCATCTATGCGTGTATGCGGTTGTAATATTATAATTGTAAAACCGTTCCAAACGAGAACAGACGAAAACAGGCCTGCTCGTTACGAATATTTTTTAACGTCAATGCGTATCTACTCATCAGAGGTACAACTAGATGTCACTTGCAGGGACTCTTCCCCCTCTTCTAAAAATTAAGGCAGATCCGAAATTTTTTGTGTGTAAAAGCTATAGAAAAAGTAAAAAAATGAATTTTGAAAAAATAAATAAATAAAAATCAATAGCATTACGCGTATTAAGTGAACGACTCATACCTACAAATACCTACCAATTTTAAAAAGTATCGAGTGCTTTTAGATTTAAATTGCGAGTTACTATTTATACTAATTAAATAATATATCGTAATAATTTTTTTCCAAATTTCGTTACACGTATCTAAGAATGTACAAATACCTAGGTATCCTAATTTCCCGTGCGGTCACAGTGTTAACATATAAAACATTTGCTTACTGTAATTAGTAATTACATTTTAATTACTATACGACGTTCTTACACACAAGGTAATAATATAACTCTGCGGGCTAGCGAACCAAAACGGCAACACCCACTTTCTATTATACATAATAATATTATTAAGTGCCTATGTTATTATTGAGCTTCTTTTTGTTTCTATTCATGAGTATAATCGTTCGACATACGAATCTCAATCAAATAATATAATTTGTTTTTTAATCACATACCTATAAATTATAATACCTGCATTTAACCCACGTCCGAGTACAATGCTCTCCAACATACATACACGACCAGGGTCTCGTCATTATCATGAAATAAGTATAACTATACCTGCCTACAGCTTATTTCCAATAAAAAAAAGGTGAGATAATGGTGAAAAAAAAAGGTGAGATAATGGTGACGGGTGCGACCACTGGTGTAGGTGGAAAGTTGAGAAGATAGGATACAGACGGGAATTTAATGTTTATCTGTAAGCAACGATAAACCATTGCTTACGAAAAAACAATTCTGAGCGGAGCTCAGTTGATAGTAATGCTTTGTCAACAATGAATAAGCTATATTAAAGTAGGCTCTATTTTCATTAATAATATTTGTTTAATATTGTACCGATTTTCCTATGTTTATCCTGGTTTTTCACATTTGCTAGAAAAACTCCTGAGAAAATCGAAAAAAAAAACCTCTTTAAAGTACCTCCCAAGTGAAATGTCCTTTCAGAAACATTGCTACACTTAGAAATCCGAGCTAGTCTTCTGGTAGAAAAAGTGTACAGATAAAAAAAATAAAAATAAAATAATATAAATAATAATAAAAATATCTTTTTAAAATCATAAGCTTTTTCACTAAGTACGTAGATTTAATTTTTTTTCTCGTGATAGTATATGAAGAAAAATTTTTTTTATGTGGATTTAAGATTTATGATATCAGGCATTTGGCACCACCCATTGTAAAAATGCTGTAAAATCCATATTCAAAAATTGCGGTTGACTCTCTCCAGCATAATAACGTGTATATATTGGTTAATGATTTTCGTTTGTGTAAAATCAGTGATAATCAGTATAAACAAGGGATTTGAGATGACCACATAAGACTTCGTAATTCAAATCGTAGAATATTTTTGAGTGTATGCGTGTCCATTTTTTCACTTAAAAAAAGCTCTTCGAGCAGATAATCAACACCTTCCTTTTAACTTTTGAACTCTGTCCAGTTATTTCCCTCCCACTAGTGAGAATATGTTATGTATAAAATATGATAGTTTGTTACAAAATCAGCTAAATCAGTCATTGTCATTTGTTTTTTTAGTTGACACACAGTACCTTTACACGCTAAATAAAATCGTTGTCTTATAGATGTCTAATGAACTTACAATGTGTGTTCATTTGGACAGAGAAAATCTCCATAAAAATGATCTGTCAAACTGGATGAGCGCACCAACGAAGATTGCCCTTCAAGTAGTTGAGATGCCCGAGGAATTTTCATGTAAAAGATCTATTGACGTTCGCATCAGTTGTGTCATCTTGTTTGAACCATACGTCCTCAACATCTAAAGGGAATTGTCTGAAACTTTCGGATTCGGCTGTTACAATGTGTCGAATAGCCATAGACGCTACATAATATTTGTTGTTTTGTTGAACTTTGAAACGAGCAAGTAATTTTGCTGGATTCTATATATAGATAACTTCGATTTGCCAATGCCTAACTAGGTGACGACGTTGAGCATAGGTACTTTTTTCGATTATTAGTGTTGTTGTACCGTTGGTGAAAGCTGAAGTAGCAGCTGGAGTTATATGAGTATAGAATTCAGGCCTGTAGCCGCGGAGGGGCGAGGCAAGGGGGAATTTTCCTTAGACCTAATCTTTTCAAATATTGATGTTTCCTAGTGCCTCCCCTAAAATTTGGTTTGCCTCGCCTGATGATTTGGTATGGTTGCGAGCCTGATAGAACTGATCCTGAAAATGATCGAAAAATCATCAACTCAATTCCATGTTGGAGTTCCCGAATCAATCAATTCATTTGATGTATAATTTTTTTTAAATTAAAATAATAAGAGGCTGCAGATGTTTAGAGACAACCTTTATTTAAGGCAAAATAAAGTTAAGACCTATTTAGGTATTGAAGCGAAAGCCAAACGAGCTAAGGATTGTGTGCCACTCAATTTTATAAACAACACATTTTTGGTAATATTATTTTGACGTTCAATTAAATGATGACTGGATGGGATAAGTAATGTTATACGTTAGACGCAAATAGTCTGCATAATTTACAAAAAAAATACATCATACTTTCCAATTTTTTTCTAATTAAAAAAAACTAACGAAATTGGCTTTTGTAAAAGATGTAACCCAAGAAAATCGGTAAAATATTTTTAGTAGAAAATTAAGTTGTTTACAAACAGCAAAAATAAAACATCGGTGAGCAGCAGAACTCCGTCTCTAGTGTCGAATTAACCCCTTTCACCTATCTTGTGTTAGAAAAAGTCTTTGCAAAACAAAGAATAACCGAATACTACAATAATACAGTACTATATATTATTATTACGTTACCAAAAAAAAAGAAAAAAAAAGTGAAATTTGTTATTATAAATGGTAAGGATAAAGGTTAAAAGTTGAACGCCACACATATACATAATTTCTCCCACTTGACTTCATTTGGGAGTCTGTATAGGTGTACAAAGCTAAAATACACCTTTGACCTTTAACGAAATGGTATTAAATTCATATTAAAATTCAACTACTCGACTTTTATAACTTAAATCCGCTAACAAAACAATTATAATTTCTGAATTTGGTCCAGAGTGAGCCACTGGATATGTTCAAAAATATCGGGAAAAAGATATATAAGATATAACAGACTAAATACCAGGGTTGGAACGTATTATCCGTACAGTATGACATTACTTGGTTTTAGACTTTTATAATGTACCGTAGACAAGTTTTTATAAATTTTTCATTATGGTTGCACTGAACAGTAGAAATCTGATATAATTTGTTATAGGTTAAATAATTAATTTGTTAATTAGTTTATCTTTATTAATTACATTAATATTTAAAATATTTAAATAACAAAAAAACGCATTAGTTTTATTTTTATTTTAAATTTAAATAAATTGACCAAGACAGATGTGATTTGTGTTAATTTATTTATATTTTAGTTTTTATTTAGGTATTTTCTAGTTGAGCTGAATATTAATATAGAAATGAAAATACTATCTACTACAATTTTAGGTATCTACCTACCTACATTCTGCGAAAAAAGTTGATGGATATTAAATAAAATCAATACAGTGAATATTGAATAATAATCATATATGTTTTTATAGTAAAAAAAAAAAAATGCTTTCATATGTTTTAATCGTTGCAAATGTCTTATATATTTATAGTTTTATACGTGGTATTATACCCGTATCATATATAAAACGTTTTACACACGTATATTACAAACCATGTTGAACAATGAACACAGTGTAATAAACGTCTATTTTCGGGGAAAATTCCAAAAAGTAAAACCAATAAATTTCTCGTTGCGCTCAGAATCTAACAATATTATATCGTGTCGTACAGTAGACACCAATGAAAAAAAAAAAAATTACTCGCGAAATTAGGTAGGTATGTCCAATGGAAAACTTACAGTTTCGATTGCGTCGTCGGCAAGCAGCTCCGTCAACAGAACAAATGGCACTGCGACATATTTGAATTTTTTTTTCTAGTCTACATTTGTGTTTACGACAAAAATACTTTTTTTTTTTTTTCTCATACGCGTACAGATTGAAAACAATATTATTAGCGAACGAATTTCTCCCACTATTACCTTGGTTATGTACGCGTGTCTCTCTCACTCTATCTCTTTATATATATTGCGTGATTAAATAGGTGCACACCGATGCCACGCGAATACTCTCGATAACATTAAAACGGTTATTTTACATTTTGACGCGGACAATTTGTACTGTTATTCGGTAAACATATTATATAAAAATGCACGTTATTACACCGTTGTAGACAGTTTGGCCTGTTGAAAATCCACCGTCAGACGCCACATTAAAATGTCGGAATGAGGATACCAATCGCTGAATCATCGACTCCCTTTCCCGCAGGCGTAATAATATTAGCGTATGGCACGCGTACATCCAGCAGTCGGCACGCATCATATTGTCAACAGCAGGCTCGCGGTAATCCGACCTCGATATCAGCCCGGGGAACTGCCGGATTAATGGAGGTCCGCGTAAATCCGCATTAATTACACGGTCTATTAAACCATATAAATAGCACACGCACACTGGTTCGCCCTAATGTTGCGCAACGATTGACCGATACACGGGCGTTACAACAAACACGCTCGACACATAGACCGAATAGAAATAAAACATCAAATCGGTTCATTCGCATTTCACACGGTTAGTTTTGTCATTGATTGTTGAACAGACTATTCTATGATCAATGGTTTTATCGTAAACGATAGTAATTTTATGGTTATTATGACGGAAGAATAGCCGGATTACTGGACGCGTATCGGATTACCGAGAGCCCACCGCAGTGGTTTCTAAACCATTTTGAATGACGGAACACATAACATTTTATTCGCGAAACACAGCCGTAAAATCAAACAGTATTTGAATATATTTTAGTTTCTGAGCGAAACAAGAGATGTATTGGTTTTATAATGTTCGTTTTTTTTTTTCATACTGTCTATGCTAATTCTACCGGAAACCACGCTCCGATTTTCAAGTGGCCATTGTTCTGAAAGGATATTTTTCTGCGGTAGTACTATAAGAAGGTTTTTTTTTTTTTGATTTTCCAAGTAGTTGACAAAAATAATTGGGGGAAAAAGCCAGGAAAAATGGGTAAATTTACGAATTAATGCTTTTATTATTTTCAATTTTGTATTTTTGTTGAGATTCAGTTAAAAGTATTCGTAAACTTGAAATTAGGACAAATCTTTATATTTGCCTTTTATAGATGTGGCCACATTTTTAAAACATTTGAGCTATTTAGAGACATTATAATTTTGCGAGTTTTTTTATGTAATATATATTCGGTAGATACTTTGTGGATAAAACTGTACGACTAAACAGAAATGCTTGGAAATTTAACAGCAGGTCCATTGTAAATTGTACTTATATCTTTGTCAACGAGAAAAAGTTGAGTTTAATTTTTTTTAATTCTAAAAATTTTAATGTTAAATTTTGACGAAAATCGTAAATATAACGGCCTTTTAAAACATGTATAACCTAATTTTGCTCAGAATCGTCTTTCGTTAGCAATGATTAATTGTTGCATATAAAAATACATTAAATTCCCTTCTGTATCCTACCTTCCCAACTTCTCATCTACAACAATTGTCCACCCATCTTGCGAAATATGTCAGTCATTTTTTTTGTATTATTAATTTACGAATAACTTTTCTACCAGATATTTTGTTCCAATTTTCAGTGTAGCACTTTTCTTGAAAGGGAATTTTACTTGGGTACTTTAAGGACGTAAAGGAATATTTTTATTATTTTCACATTGGTTGTCATAACAAATGAGAAATACGGGAAAATGTAAAAAATATATTATTTTTAAATTGTCAAACAATATTATTATTATGTAAAGTGTAAATGATAGGTAATCACTAAATCTCCGTTATCATTGAGGTTTCTGCAGTAGTGTTTCGATATCACCGTCAATCTTGACAAATGATTATCGCGTAGCTATGAATTAATGAGCAGATGAATATTTTATTTTAATTACTACGGTGGTAGTATTTACTATGTCTGTATTTAGTTATGATATAGTCGTATACGGCAGTTGGTTTTTAACCTTTTACGAATCGTGACCCCCTAATTTTTTTTTTTTATTTATGAAGATCCCTTCAAAAATCATTTAATAGAATTTGAATAATACAATGTACAGTATACAAATGATACTTATGGTTTTTAGAGAACCCCAGGTTGAAAACCACTGATGTAAGGTACCATAACTATGAATATGGACAATTTAAGATACACAAGTTTAAAATGTTGCACCTTATTTTTCACCCTTATGTACCGATAGACAATAGTGTAACCATTATTAAAATAGGTACTCATTTTAAAGAATGATCTCACAGATAGACATAGGGTCTAGAAAATGGCTTCTTTAATGTAAAATATAGATCCTATGGTTAACAACAAAAATAATTATATTTGTTTTTGGCTTAAAAAAATGGCACATATTTCATAAAAAAAAAAAACCAAACAAGTAAAATACTTTTATACAAATTATTTTTAAACCACCTAATACTATTGTTAAAACGTATAAATTATCATTTATTTTTATTTGGATAATAACTTCTCTAGATATATAGTTCAATTGAGTACCTAATATGATTGTTTACATATTTTGTGGACTCCCCATTATTATTTTTATTGAAATAATGTTACAACAAAAGATTATAATGGAACACATTATCAATGTTTTGTAGAAAATAATATATCCATTGTTCAAAAATAATGTCTTTGTTATTATGCAAGTAATTATTAGTGAAATAATTTGTCGTATTTTAATCAATGTATCACAAAATTGTGTGTTAGTATCAAGGTTATAATAATATTTTGGGAAAACTTTTTAAATTATAGAATTTAAAATAAAATAACAGAGGAATTAATAATTATTGTGGATGTAAAATCTACACTACATACTTTATACATTTTGAGTTACTACTATAAACAAACTTTTTTTTATGAAAACTAATGAAGTACTATTAATAATAAATAATGTACATTGTGTTGTAAAACATTTCATATATTTAGGTACATTTTTTTTAGAGGCGCTTTGAGTTTAACTCTTAAAGTCAAATTACAGTCTTCAATTGTCTTCACTAAAGCATAATATATATTATTTATGAAGAAATAATATTTAAACTTAGTCAAGAGTAAATCAAAGATTAAGAAAAAAAATAATATGAACATAAATTATTAAGATTATTAATTATTTTTTTAATATTTGACTTAATAAACATTAAGTTTATTAACATATTTTGAATTGGTAAAAAAAAAACTGTTTTATAAATATATTAGCATGTCTTTATTTATTGTATTTTATTTTTTACTTCAAACATAAATTAAAAGTATGCATTAAACAGTTCATCTACCAGCTGCTTTAATAACTTCAAAAACCATTTGTTGAAGATATAGAAAAAATTAAAGCTTTTTAACATAGGAAAAAATAAACATTACACCACAAAATAGTAAAAAATAATTTTTATTAAAATTAAAAAAATGTAATTGCAGACTTTGTTAATCGAATTATATTATGCCCAAGCATGTAGCATAAGATTAGTAATCAAATTATTATTAACTTTTATTAAGATTTTAGGAATTTATAAAAAAAAAGTGAAATAAAAATTATTCTTTCATAGACTCTTCAGTGGCTTGTGCTGCTATTGGCTGACTATCATCACCACCCTTCTTCTTGGTACCAGACACAATATCATCAATACGAACCAATAATATAGCTGTCTCAATTGCAGTTTTGTATACTTGGGATTTTACTACAATTGGTTCCCATACCTTGAGGTCCTTCATATCAGCCATTTCTCCAGTTTCGCCATTAATTCCCCAATTTTCATTGCCACTTAACGCATGTTTAGCTCTTAAAGTTGTCATTGTTCTTATAGTACTAACACCACAGTTTTGTAAAAGTGTACGCGGAATAACTTCTAACGCTTGAGCAACAGCTTTGTACGGCCATTGAGTTACACCAGCTATTTCAGCACTCTTCTTAACTAATGCTTGTGAAATAGCCATTTCTATAGATCCACCACCAGTCACTAATTTCGGATTCAACATAATGTTTTTAGCAACATGTAGAGCATCTTGTAAATTCCGTTCCACTTCATTCAAAATGTCCTTACTTGGACCTCTAAGTAAAATTGTACAGGCCTTTGGATTAGCACATTCAGTGATGAAAGTGAAGTATTCATCACCAATCTTTTTGATTTCAAAAAGACCAGCTCCAGTTCCGACATGGCACTCACGTAACTCATCTGTACGAGTGACAATAGTAGCATTACAAGCTCTTGCAACACGATTGTTATCAGATTTTCTCAAACGCCTTAACACAGATATGTTAGCCTTTAACAAAAAATGTTGTGCTAAATCCGAAACTCCTTTTTCAGTACAAACCAAGTCTGGTTTTAAGGCAATAATGTCTGAACATATTTGTTGAATGTATTCTTCTTCGATCTGTAATAATCTTGTGAAATCAGTTTCTTTAACAATTTCAACTTCCGTTTGACTTTCTCCTTTTTTGAATTCTAAAGTACAATCCAGAAGAATAATTCTAGGATTTTTTATAAATCTTCTCATTTTCGGATGTGTAACATCTTTGTTCAACATGATACCATTTAATACCTGGGAATCTTCAATAGCACCACCTGGTACTTTCTCAACTTTAGCATACCTTTTGATATCAATTTCTGTACGGCTCTCATCCTTAATGCTCACAGTTTTAACAGCATTCAAGGCAATACTACATGCTAAATCTGACCAACGACCAATGAACTTAGTGCCGACACAAGATTTTATCACTTCAATTAATTTTGGCTCATCATCCAAAGATAATGGAATACTGTATTCTTTATCTAAAATATCTAACATGTCTTCTAAAGCTTGACGGTAAGCTCTGATTATAACAGTAGGATGAATTTTTTGTTCTAAAAATTGTTCTGCAACACCAAGAATTTCACCAGCGAGTACTACAACTGATGTGGTTCCATCACCTACTTCTTCATCTTGAGTACGTGCAATTTCAATAAACGACTTGGCAGCAGGATGCTGAACTGTAATTTCACGTAAAATAGCATTACCATCATTTGTCATTACTATCCCACCCATCGGGTCCATTAACATTTTAAGCATAGCTCTGGGCCCAATACATGTACGCACAACATCAGCAATTGCTTTACCTGAAAAAAAAAAATATATATATATTTTAATATTTAGTATATAATATAATCAATATTCATACAAATAATTTAAATAATAAGTATATTCAAATTTCTAATTGTAATTTTATAAATATCTCATATAAAATATGATGATTAAGGAGATATATTCTTTATTATAGATATATTATTAAAATGTATGCTTATGCACTGAAAAAATTGAATTAAATGTATTAAAAAGTCTATATTTTAAAATAAAACAACCAATTAAATTAGGTAATTCAAAATGTTTAAATTAAATAGTAGATGGAAATAGATTTAGAGGACGGCCACCATCTAAATGATTTTTCTCTGCTCTCAACACAAAAACTGTAATACTCTGTAAGTTGTCATTTATAACAAATTACAATTTTCTAATACCTAACATTATATTTTGTATAATTGGCCTAAAACTGGTTTTGTCAATAATAAATAAATTCAATTGGCAGTCTAGAACTTAAAAGATCTTTGGAAAATTTGTGTACCATAATATTTTAAAATTTCTAATATGTACTTAATATTGGTTTAATAGTAAGTAGGTATTAGCCAATAAGCTGTCCTGCACTGCTTTGCCCATGCAATAAACAAGTTTCTAATAAAATTAATAAATAAATTATCATTATATGCTATTACTATAGATACCTGCACAGTACAGAGATTGCACTATACAAATTAATAACTATGATTTTTTTATCCGTGTTGCCAAGGTAACACATAAATCAACAAAAATAATTCAATTTTTATACTAAAAGTACCTAAAAACCGAATTTCAGGGAATGGAATTTATTGGAAGGTGGATTTCAATAGCCTCTCTGGAAACTTCCCAAAGTTTCAATTCAATCGGATGAATGATGTAGTAATGCATAAAGGGCAAACAGACATATATTAGTTTACATATATATTGTAGTTAATACATTTTAGATTCTGAGTGGATCGAAAAAATTAATGGTTTTATAAAGATGTTCTTCACCAGAAATCTTACTCTGATTTTAAAGTAGCTTATTATTTAGATTTTCTCATTAAATGACAAAAAAAAAAAAAAAAAAAAAAATGAGGAAAATGGGAAAAATGTACGAAATATATTAGTAAAAAATATTAAGATTTTTTTTAATAACTTTTCTATTATTAAAGAAAATATATAATGCCTATTTTATTGTTTTACCATAATATGATACATATAGTGTTGACAAAGTATCATTATCAACTGAACTCTGCTCAGAATAGTTTTTTTGTTAAAAGTGGTTTATCGTTGTTTACAGGTTATATTACCTATAACAGTGGCTTCATCCGTCCCTCATTATTCTAGGATAGCTTTTTTAGTACTTTTCTGTTATATGAGACTATGGCTATTATCACGAATACCTCTGTTATTAGAACTACCACATATCGATATCCATGTGTCATGTTTTGGTGCCGTTTATTATTGTATTATAAGTTTTTGTAGCGTTGTTTTCCTTTACATTATATTTATTAACTGATAGTGGAAATAGTAGATAATTTAAGATAGATGAAAGTTTGTTATTTTAATATAAAAAAAACGCAGGCGGAATACTTTCACAATAATGGGTTTTTAGCAAAACCAAAGAATGTTTTATTGATCTAGAATCTTCAATAAACCATATTTACTCTTTTGATTGTAATATTGTTAAATATAAAGAGGGCGATCAATAATTTATTTAGATGGTCGGTGGGCATACAATTTTAATAAACTCAAAAAGCGGATTTTAAACATTTAATTGTAAACCATGGCAAAAACTTTGTAGATCTACTAGGCGGACCAAAAACTCAAAATAAAGAACATCTGTAGGGATCAGTAAAATGGTAGAACAAGAAATATTGCATACCATTATTGTAAATCAATTATAATTTTTACAATGAATACAATGAATCATTAAACTTAATTAAAAAATATATACAATTTCTGTATGTATTTTATTTATAATTCAATTTATATATAGGTATGTATACTAAAACACTATACAAAGAACTATAAGTACTTATGATTTGTTAAGAGAAAAAAAATTAATAAGGTAGTCTGTGATAAAAAGAAAGTGGCAAATTTTGGTGGTCTTGAATAACAAAATTGTGATATTTCGTAAAACAAGATAGCTTTGTACTCTTGTATAAAAGAGAAGTACCTACCCATTTTAGTTTTTAATTTATTTATTTTAATGAATTATTACTAAAACTTGTTAAAAATGAGGATAAAAACGCACAAGAAGGATTTGGTTTTACTGTTTTTAAGTATAAAATATAGACACATATAAATTAACATAATCATGATGATCGTAAGTTCCTACGTTTTAAAACAAGCCACTCATATAAATATAATATAATGACTTGGATACTTTTAGCGTTATAGAGATAAATAAATTATATATAAAGTATAATTTTGTTATTTAAAACATTTAAAAACGAAAAATTATTACCAGCTGCAATGTTTTCTAATTGAACCTTATGTCCAAATTTCCTTTTTGTGTTGGTGTTCAACACCAAGATCGGGGCACCGCTCTGAGACATCATTTTCGTGTTATAATAATTTGAAACTATTTAAATAAAAAATATGTTGAGTATTATAAAATAACTGAATATTATGAACAAAGGGTGTACAAAACGTCCAAATAGAAGTTGGATTCTAACAATTTACCGCATGCGGTTCTTATCCTTATCAAAATTGTGTTAAAAATTAATAATTATCTAGATATATGGGTGATCAGCGTGAAAATTGCCCAGTGTAGACAACCACGCTTCTTTTTTAGTGAAGAAATTACCGCCATTTATTATTTTGTACTTAAATTATGTTAACGCGCAAAGAAAATATTAAATAAAACATGTCACTTTACTGTTGTGAAATAGTTAAGTATATTATTTTTAAATTAAAAATTGCCATAAGCTTAATATTGTAAATAATGTGCGAGTAAGTGTATCATTAACAATAACACGCGATCTTATAAAGCAGAAAGAATTCTGCGTCGGGAACCAAAAGGAGATCCGTATTTTGTGGGAACTTATTCTCCTATAACTTGTTCTCCTATTTTGCAAAAGCCAAGTTAAGCTTTAAGGCTTTAAGCAAGTTTTTCAAGTAGGTAGGCAGCATAGGCATAGTAACTAACTGCAATTCACAATTGGTTGTTTATTTGTGTCCTGTAAGAGAATTTTGGAGATACGCTAGTTGCAGTTTAATAATTGTATGTTTCATAAAAACAAATTAAAACTCAAGGTACCTAGCTATTTAAATTGATAATTTCATTTTTCATTATTATTCGAAATAAGATTTACACAATATGATAGGAATTAGTGCACGACCGACAGTCAGCGCTCTGACGGCACGCACTAGTGATGGGCACTACCGAGTGAAAACTATCGAAAGTTCGATAGTTTCAAATTATCTGTTTACCGCGGCTGTAGATACTCGGCTACCTATACCAGTGCTATTTACTCGGTTGTTAGGTGTGACTCGGATACGGATTTTCGCAGGGGTGGCTTCAGGTAGAGGGAAGGCCCGTATTTTTGTTAAAAACAACTGTACAAAAAAAAAAAAATAAACTTACAAAATATGTTTTTAAAATAATTTTCTGAAAAATATGACTTGCTCCCCCAACCTAGTCTCTGGATCCGCCCCTGCTATGGCACACTATCTATTCAGTTGAAAAAGTACTCTGCGTGTTTTAAACTATCAATAGTCAAAAACACTCGGTTGTTTTTTAGACCAATCGGTGTGCCAAATGCCGATTTGAAAACTGTCGGACTATCACATGCATACGGTGTAAACTATTTTTATACCGGTTTCATATCCCCGAAATAATTAACGAACAGATAAACGATAATTTAATTGATAACCTATTCAAATTAATTCGTATTGAGTACTTATTTGTGGGAAATGGAAAGTATAGTGAAAGTAATACACTGATAATTTAAATAACTGATTAATATTTAATCGATGTTATTATCTTTGTTAATTTTTGTCAATGGCGGGGATACACCGGTGTCCATCGTCGGACAGCTCTACACTGGTGTAAAACAATCGGTATCGGGTGTCGGTAAACTGGTAAAAAAATGTTCCGGTACACCGGGGGTTCGTACCGACGAATTTCCAGCGAGTGTTCGGTGCTTAGCTGCCGGCATGCGGTACAAAATAAAACCGCAACACCAATTATCGTGTACGAATATGCGTGCGCGCGCACGATCGGCAGCTCCGCTCGGCGTCAAGAACTGAACGCCTGCGTTCACCGAGATGTGGTCCGTCCGTCGGTCGGTCGTCGTACGCACGAGGCGTCTGTTACGCGCGCGTGAATTTATCGGAGGTGCGCTGTGACGTTGTTCGTAAGCGTTCGTTGGATTTTGAAGTTTTCAAATTTTCTTTGTAGTTTTTTTCAAATAACGATCGAAAAATATGTGGAAATTACGAGAAAATTTACGAAAATAATTCCGTTATTATTTTTTTTCCTTGTGAAAACTGTTTCTACCAGAAAGCATACTCCTATTATTTATCAAGCATAGCGCTTTTTACCGAAGGAAATGTTCTCTGAGCGGTACTTGAGAGTGGTCATTTTATGAAATATTCGTTAATATTCGAGATAATGAGGGAAACCCGGTTTTTTAGGTTAGAAAAAATTGAAAGATTTAAAATAAGGTTGTCATTGGTAACCGTTTTTTATTTATTTTTAGTTATTAAGTTTTTTTATTTTATTAAATCTTTTTAACAATCATGGAAACGTTGGGAATGCAAGGTTGTCATGGAAACGCACATTGTTGTAATGATTTTACCATAACATGACATATACATTGTTCACAAAGTAACACTATAAACTGAACTCTATTCAGAATCGTTTTTCGATGGTTTATTGTTGCTTATAGATATACAATAAATTCCCGTCTGTATCCTGCCTTTCAAAATTCCCACAGTGGCTGCACCCACGTGCGAAGTATGTCCGTTCTTTTTTCTATTAATATAAAAAAAAAATCAATTACGTGAATTTATTATCTTCACTTACCAAATACGCAAAACAATACCAACTGCGCTTTAGAATAAGTTCTGATTAATTAATGAATATTAATTAATACCTATTAGGTACCAGTTTGGTTGTATTTAGACGTTTAAACTATAATTGTTGCAAAGTTTTTTTTTCTGCAAACACATTTTGTGTCAGTAAAAATAATTCAAATCTTTTACATTGTACGTTAAAACTTTTTAGATGTACGGGGTATTTTGTTTAAGACATTGTGTTAGATTATCCAGTTTTTCTAAACAATAATTAACGATATTCTGTTGATTTTTTAATTATCTTGACTACCAGTGCCGGATTAAGAAATTTAGTGCCCATAGACTTTGTATAAAATGGCGCCCTTATTATATTTATCATTTTTATGTTCAAAAACCAAATACGGAAGTTTTGCGGTCACATATTCTAAAAGATGAATATACTTCGCACGTGGATGGGCCACTGTTTTAGGTGTGAAGTAGGGAAGGTTAATGTATATATGTGCGCAACGATTAACCATTGCTAACGAATAAACAATTCTTTGCGGAATTCTGTTAATTGTGTTGCTTTGTCAACAATATATAATATGTCATATTATGGTTTTATGTAGTAATTACATATGCGTTATATATTTTCTTTAATAATATTTGTTTAATATTGTACCTATTTTTCCATGTTTTTTCCATTTATTAAGAAAACAGTTGGGAAAATCAAAAAATAACCTCCCTTAAGTACCACTCTAGTCGGATTTTCTTTCAGAAAAAGTGCTGTCATTGTAAATCGGAGCAAAATTGCTGATAGAAAAGTTGTTTGTATAAAAGAAAAAATAATAAACATCATTGTTAAGTTTATACATTTCTTGCTCCGTTTAGAATCTAAAATCTCTTGTATTATTTTTTTTAACCATGCATTTTACATTGAAAAAAATTGTATGAAACAGAGTCCAATAAAAATAAGTGATTGCTGTGATTTAAGTATATAAACTAAGCTACTTTATATCCCTTAGGTAACTTCTAAACTTACAACTTCCGACCTATAAGTGGCCTACCCATGGTGGGAGGAATATTATGCATACATTTATATATACATTTTAGATTCTGAGTGGAACGAGGAATGTATTGGTTTTACAAAGATGTTTTTTTATTTTACGAGAAGACTTTTTCTACCAGAAAGGATACTTCAAATATCAAGTAAGTATAATATCTTTTTTGAAAGGAAATGTTCTCTGGGTGGCTTAGTACCTTTTTAACTGCAACAGTGGCTTACTCCTGAGCAGCATGAAGTTTTTTAAATTTATAATCTCTGCATGAAAATAAATCTGGTTGCACCACTGAAAAACGCTTTTTTTTATTATCTGCAGTAATTACATAATTTTTTTTAAAATTTTAGTTTTATAAGTATATATTTAACTACTAATTTTGAATTGATGGCAATGTTTTCTATGTGATAAGAGGGAGAAGATATGGGAAACAAATAGTTCAATTAAAAAATGTACAATGATACATCTGTTATAGTTTTAATAAATGTTATATTTATAGTACTAAAAATAAGAAATTAGTAATCAAATAATACTACAGACACATATTTTTATTGGTTTGAGGTTTAAATAAATTTTTATTGATTAATATCTATTTTATACTATTTTTAATACTGGCAATGTGTGGGGGGTGCGAGGAGGCGAAATGTCTGCAGATCTGTCACATTTATACAAATACTCACTTTAGTATTAGAACTCTAGTTGTAATTATGTATAACTATAAAGTTAGATTTATAATTTAAATTTAAAAAACACAATTCAAACAGTAATGCTATTTAATAACAGAAGAAAATGATATTGCATTCCTAATATTTAAAAATTTCAATAATTTAAATTTTCTGTTCAATTTTTATTACATAAAACATACTATGTTTCTATATTAAATGCAGTTAGGTACCTGTATCACAAACACAATTACAATATTTAAAGTAAAAACATTATTATAATTGATTAAATAGTAGATAATAAATGTATATATTATATTATATTGTATAACAATGTGTCCGATATTGGTAATTGATGACCATTAATTTTGTTTTATTATAATACCATGTAACAATATTGTAGATTTGACATAAGGCTCAATGTGTCAATTATATTTATTAAAATCCTCCACTTAAAATTGTACAAACATCATAATCACAATTTATTGATGTTTATGTAAACCAGAAGGAATAAAATTATCTTATATAATTCACAATTTAAAAAAATATATAAATATTATGATTAGTTAACAAACAAAAATAAAAAAATAAAAAATAAAATTAGCAAACTGAAAATAAGGAAAACTTGATATTTAATTAATTCGTATGTGCATAAAATTTGAAAATAAAATTTTTTTTGGCAAGAATGACATTTGATATCTTACAGTATATATTATATAAAAATAATAATTTAAAAAAAAATGAAATCTTCTAAAATTGATTTTACATTTACAGAAATTTAAACAAATTGACTAGACATGTTAGTTAAGAATTATATAAATAGATATTTTTAATGTGATTAATTACATTTATTTTGAAATGTACAATAAAAAGACATAAAAATGAAAATTTCCAGAATTAAACTATGATATTTTTAAAATTAAGTACTAGGTTCACATGAAAAAAAAAAAAATAATAAATAAAATAAATTTAAATATAAAGATCTATTAGTTATTAAGTAAAAGCCATATTATGTTTAAATGGACGGAGATTATTTAAATTTGTAAAGAAGAGTCAATTTATTTGAATTAAGTTTTTATTCAAACAAAGTTTAAAAAATAACATTTTTTAGAATTCTAGTAAAAAAATAATATATATATTTATATGTATACAGATCACACTAAGAGGTACCGCTAAATATTTCAGTTGGATGACCTACTATAGAAATTTAGTTTTCGGGAAATGATAGGAAATATAGCTTACTTCATTTATTTTTATGAGAGCATTTAAAAAATATTGTATACATGGATCCTTCTTATTATTCCATTTCAATACTAAGTTATCCAACAGAAATATTTAGTGGTACCTCTTAGCATGAACACACTGCATATTAGGCGTATGTTGCAGCAAATCTTAGACTTAGTTAGAATTAGTATTTAAAAGTAAAATTTAGTTCACTGAAGTTTTTGTAGTGAAATTAGATCAGATTTAGTTTCCATCAAAGCTTGTAAACCCAAAATTGGTTAATTTTCACTTGGTTATTCTAATGTATGTTACAACAAATTTATAAAAATTATAGAAATAGACAACTAGATTTACTGATGAACTATATTTTTGTACTAAGAAACTTAGATATTTATTATAACATTTGTAAAGCATCTAGAAAGTTAGGAAGCATTAAATTTTTTTAATGGAAATTACATGTAATAATATTATAAGATTACGATTATTAAAAATAACAAACATACAATTTTATAGCTGTAAATTATCATAAGTAATTCATAAAAAAAATTAATAGCTTCCAAACTTTACAGACACATGTTATATCTAATATTAACAATCAAATTACTGTAATTGAACAATTGAGTTCAAATTAAAAACTTGTGATGTATAATAAAACAGTATTATAATTTATAAACAATATTAAAACATAAAGTTATATTAATCATTTTTATATGAATAAACAAACATACAAACATCATTTGTTGATATTTATAATACACAAATATGTTTTATAAAAACCTTACTCATAAAATTTAGTTTAGGAGAACTCTCGGTCATTATTAAATGTTTATATTTAAATAAATACAAACTAGACTGTCAAGAATTCAACTTATTATGCAATAGTATCGTATCTTTTTTCAATTTATATAACTCTTCTTCAATTTTATCTGTAATCGCTTTACGAGCTTCCTCATCGGTGGCTTTTGATTCTTTTAACTTTAAGACAAACTCTTTTAAATCTATAGGCTCACCAAAATTAAATGTTACCTTACGGCCAGTTCGTAAATAGTATGGTGGTTCATTAGGTAATACAGTTTCCATGCCTACATGACAAATGGGTACAATTATTGGCATAATAGGTGATTTGTATATCATTTGACCAACTCCCCATTTAAGACGTATATATTCTTTACTCATGTTAACACGACCCTCTGGGAATATATGTAACCATTTACCTTTAGACAATAGTTCTGTACCAAACTTAACGGCTTCCTGTAAAAAAATTTCATAATTTTAAAATTGTATTACCAAATGCTAACTTATTTATAACAAATATATTATACTTAATATGCGATCAGATTTAAAATAAATGCTGATAATGAATGTATTAAATTAAATTACCTACATTTTTACAAAACAGTAAATGTCATCCAAGACATGACAATTTGAATGTAAAAAGAAAAATATGAGAATTAAGATTAATTATTTTAATTAATTTTACAATATCTTTTATAATTTTTTTTTGCAATTTAGAGACATTTATAAATTAATAATATTAAAAAAATAAATCATTGAAAATGTATACCTCAATGAGATATTCCAATACCAACAGTGTCCTTTAGTATTTTTTACATAGCTAAAAATGTATTTTTAAAACTTTAACAGACCCAGTTTGAATTTAAAATAAATAATTATTACTTGAATGACACCAAATAGAAATTCCTGATATTTGTTAAAAATATAATACTCAATAAAGTTATAAGTATTGTTTACAATTAAGTAAATATAAAACTAGTGTATTTTACATTATTATTAATAAAACAATGTATGTATTAGATTGAAAATAAAATATATTAATATGTAATAATATTATTGGCTCAATAAAAATAAATACAGAAAAAGATAAAATAAATGTAATGGTTTGTTAAATAGTATTTATTTCAAAAACATAATATTTTCATTATAAGCATAAATAATTCCTCACCATTATAATGTATAAAGTAGAAAAACGAGTGCATTTCTATGGAACTTTAGCAAGGTACACCAATTAAGTGGGCCACATGAAGCTAATAAGCTATACGTTACAGACCATAGGCTATAAAGTCAGGATCTGTTTTATATATAATGCATATAGAAGGTCATTATAAAAAAAAAAAAATCATCCATATCTATTTAATTTGAATTTATGATAACTAAGTCATAATAATTAATTAAATATTTAAAAAGAGTACATAATATACTAAACAATACTTGTCTTGATAAAAAAAAAAAACTAACTTGATAGAACGTTTTATTCAAAACTGTTATTAATTTGAATTATAATATAAATATTAAATAAACAAAAAAAAAATAAAATTTGAAATTTGAATACAAATTTTATCTTGTTAAACTAATATAAAAATAAACAGTTAAAATTTTAGCATTCAAAAATATGACCTTTAATGACACACATAATAAATCAATACCTAACACACGTTTAAAAATGTATGCATTCAAACTTAGAGTAGAACAATAAAAAAAGTCAATCAAAAATGCATTGCTTAAAAACTATAATTTATGTATATATGAATATTAAAATTATTTATTTGTATGATAGCAAATGTACATGTATATAGGTAGTTAAAACTGTTAATGAAATGTTATTGTTCAATAATAATATTTTTAATGTAATTAGATATTTAAAACATTTAATTAAAAATTATATATATATATATATATATATAAATATTAATAATGTGCATTTGTACTTGGTATGAACATTGTGCACCAAAAAATTTATGAAAGCTAATTTAGGTTGTATTATTTATGATATTTAAAAACAAAAAACAATTAATGTATTACTTGGTATACACCAGCACCTCGAATAGTTGGTACACATTGTCCGAGCATAAAGAAATGAGCACAAAATGAATTTGTGAAACATATGTCATTAGCGGCCAGTGCCCAGCGCATTTTATTTGACATTATTAATCTCTTCCAGCCAAGTGCACCTAAAACAATGTATTAAATAAAATATCTAAAACTATATCTATCACAAGAACTAAAATTGATTTACCCCAAATTCCTGGATCGTCAAAACATGAATCATGGTTAGAAACTGTAATGAGGGGTATGTGCTGTGGCCTTTCAAGAGCTTTATCAAATGAAGCGAGATTAAAGACTCTCGTCTTGTTGAACAATTCTAGAAATGAAGAAAATCAAAATTAAAATAACATAATGGTACCCATGGGCGATGATAATGATTACTGATAAATATCTTGCTGAAAATTCCGACTGCCGCCAAGGTGATGCAAGACGCGAAATTCCAAAAAAACCGACGATTCCGGAGTTTGGGTAAGACCCAGTCAATATTGTATTCTGTCTTCACGACCATATCGATGTCGATACCTTGCGATGTACGTGTCACACAGACTTATAAAGCTTTCATCGCGGGCCCATTTTCGTGAAAGTTTGTCAATAATCGTTTGGTCTCTTTTTGGGACACATACAGGTGCGAGACGTCCGGGCGAGTAGTGTAACGGTGTACAACAGCGGTGGTGCGTTTAAAGGGACATCATCGATCTGACGTCTCGTTTTACGTAATAATTTATTTATTTAATAAATAGGTAGGTAGGTAGGTAGGATAGATGAAATAATAACAACGAAACCAAAAAAAGGTCGTGCCGTATTATTAATAATTAATAACAATACGGCGACGACGACTGCGGTCCGGTATTCGAAAAAAAAAAATATTAAAAAATCAAACGAGAACGCACGAGGCACGGCTGACGCGACCACGGAACTACGGGATAATATTTTTCCGCCGTCACTGTTATCAGTAGCTCACTCGGCGGTTCCCAATCCCATGGTAGATAACGGCCGGACGACGGTAGCGCCGAGGGCGGTGACCGTGAAGTCGAACGCGAGGACGTTCGTTTACAAATGGCCGCGGTTCGTTCGGCTGTAACAGGTAACCCGAGCGCGGAGGGGGGGCGGAGAGGTGACGGGGGTCCCGCCGGTTACGGGTTTCTGTCGAAATTGTTTTCGTTATATTTTTCTCCCGTCATTATAATAATATTACCTTTGCTAATAATTTCTTGGCGCAAACGTCTGTCTGTGTGGTGCAACCGCCGTGCTCGTGCGCGCGCGCGCACTTGCGTTGAATTGCGTGTCTTTGTTATGCATACAAATACTAATTGCATTGCGTTACGGGACGGCATAATATATTGCACAGTGTGTGCGTGTGTGTGTGTGTGTATTATTGTTTCACGAGGATTTTTCAAAAATCATCTTCTTTTTTGTGGATTTGTACTAAAGGTACACGCAGTGACGCGGCCTGCAGGGGACGGTTTGAGCGTTGCAACCTCCCTCACCCATTGTTTTTTCAAAACTATAGACAAGGTTAAGAAGGTTGTAGACCTCTAAAACTCCCCGAGCCCACGTACCCTCTCCCCCGTCGATAAATCTTGGCCACACGATCGCCATGCCGCCGAACTATTATCACTATTTTATTTATATTGTATTGTTCCGTTTTATTCCGGGAGCGTCGCGCAACCGATCGGTCGATTATTTTATACCCGTCCCAAGCGAGTTAATAATTGTGTTTAGTTTCCGTACAGTCCGACTTTGCAGTGCGTTAAGACGGTGAAATGCGTCTTAAAGGTACCGGGCGAGTCTGGAAGTTGCGTCAGAACGCGAGTAACTTACGACGCGGATTTTCTCGAACTGGTTTCTTGGACGCCCGACGCAACGTCGCTGCCGTGATATCAGTGTCGTGCGTCAGACGCAGCGTTTGATCCATAATAGTTAAAACGTCATAATAGTATTATATATTGATTATAGTAATTTTATGCCAGGCACGATGATTCATATCAGCAGTAGCGTAGTGAACGTGCGTTCGGTTCTAGAATTGTTTGAGATTTATAGAAAAGCGGCGGCGGATCAATGGGTGGTTTAATTGAGAATTAATCGAGCGCACGGAAATTCAAGTGTTGTTGCGGCAATACAAAGTCGATAAAAACCAACGTGTACGACACCGACGTGTCGACGTTTCTGTACGGCGTGTGGAAAAGCGAGCCGGGACGCGCGCGCCTTTAGAGACCGCCAGCGCGTTTCGATCAGTTTTCTCGCGTTGCACGTCCACGTCAAACCGCGATATCACCTCTGTCGCGTACATCGATTGTCGTAATAAAATCGCCCCGGGGGGCTGGTGCTGGTGTTAAAAAATGCCATTTCCGAGGGGGCGCGCGTCAACGCTGTTGCGACATTTTGGCGCATCGGAAACAATCCCGTCGTAACGGAGGTCCGTGACCGTTCCGCGCGTTAACATAGGGCCCGGGGGGGGAGGGGGTGATGGTATGACGTACGCGTCCGTACGTCCACACGGGTTATCGGGTCCCGGCGCGTGTACCGCCCGGTTATCGCCGTCGTCGCGGGCCGTGCGCGCGATTACAACGAAACGACGGCGATACGACGACGGGGGGAACAGTGCCGGGCGCGACGCGGGAGCTCGTACCCCGGGACGGCCTGAAAAATAACGTCGCAAGGTCGCGCGCGCGTTATCGCAACAATACGCCGGGGCGTTGTTGCAGCGGACGCTGCACGCTCGGCGTACGCCTTGTACGCGCCGCGCGGTGTTCGTCGCTCCGCGAACGAACGTAGCGAATCCGGCGTACGGCCGGAACCGATGATTTCGGCGCGCCGCACGGCCGTTCTGACGTCTCGTCGGCAATAATTGACCGGCCATTGTCACGTTTAAAACGGAAAACGCCGTTGCAATAGTGTTATTAATGTACCGCGATTGTCTACTACGCGCGCTGTTTTTTTTTTTATTTTACCGATATTGCGATTTCCAAGATACACGTCTAAACGTTTCAGATATCTGCGGTTAATACGGGGGTCTTGCACCCATTTTGGATTCCGAACGTGAAGCGTTTACCAAGAGGAGTGTTTTTCTGAAAACGATTTTCTGACGTCGTACGTTCGGAAACGCGGATTCTTTTGTTTATTTTATCTACGGTACTTTGAAACGCTTATCGAATTTTTAGCGATTCGCCTTCCGAGTCATTTTAGATTCTGAGCGAAGCAAGAGATCTATTGGTTTTACTATGGTGCGTGCGTTTTTATAATTTTTCGTGTCCGTGAGCAATTTTTCTACCATAAATCTGGCTCTGATCAAAGCATGGCAAGAGGCATGTTTTGTTATATTTTGGCTCTAGTTGGTGCATTGGGGAGGTCGTTTTTGAAATTTTCATTTTTACACGACATAATGTTGAAAAACTGGTTCTTTGGTTTAAGAAAGAATACAAATAAGCTTATCATTGGCAATCGTTTTTATTTATGTTTTGTTATTATTATTTTGTTTTTGGTATTTGAATATTTCATATTACAATCGCGTTGTTGTCGTGCAATCTCCGGTCAGAATCGTTTTTCGTTAGCAATGATCGATCGTTGCGTACTGATTTAAATTCGATTCCCCTCTAAATCCCTCTATACCTTTGCGAACTATGTCCGTCCTTTTTGTTTGTTGATTTTTTGTTTACCTCGGCGACCGGGAAAAAACGCGACTACTGAGGTCTACGTCCCATTATACGTCCCGTGTGCCCGTCACAATTTACCGTTTACACGGTGGTTTTGTTCGTTTCCGTTATAATCTGCCGTCCCCGTTTGAGTTTTCGTTACCCGCGTTAAAATTCTGTAACGTCCCGTGTCCTTTTATTATGCGTCCGCGACCGGGCATGATATTATCCCGATAATAATCGGTCGGTTTTCGGCCGAACTAATGTGTTCGGCGCCGCGCAATGAAATAACGCACGGTGCGTTTTATAACCGTCTACGACCTGTTGCGGTGCAGTTATTACGCGGCCGCCGTGTACACCCAGTGTGCGCCGCCGCGGAGTCGGGCGGGCACCTTTCTCGATTTCTCGAAAAAACAAATACGCCGTGATACGAACGTATATGTAACGCGTAATAACGATATTACAATTTTATTATACATGTATATTGTACGGTAAAACGTCATCGGTAGAGGTACCTGTTATATATTATAATATCCATGCCTGTATAGTAAAAATATTCCACTCGTTTTAGAAAGTTCGACGACGAGTAGGACGCGCGTTGAAAAAAAAAATTTCATACGCTATTCTTCCGATCGATATAACCATTATAATAAGGTATAGGTAAATATTTTATGCGACGCGGTTTTTTTTTTTTATGTTTATTATAATATTACGTCCGGGCCGGCATGCGTGTGTGCGTGCGTGCGCGCGCGCGCGCGCTCGTGTGTCCGTATCGCGATAATATAATATGCATTCTGTATCAATATATATTATTACTACATTATTATGACCGTTGACTAGGTGCACCGAACAGAACGGTTGTAATGTTGAGTGTCAATTATACCGGCTATATTTCTTTTGGATAATAAAAATTCGAGTTTACACGAAATGATATCGTATTAGAATATTACGCGTCCGCGCGGACACACACAATGTCGCGCCGGCCACCGGGGTAATATCATAGCTACCGTATTATCGTGGTCCGGCACCCGTATTCCCACATATCCCAGCCGGTCTGCCCTCGGAATCGGAGAACTACTATACCAGCTGTGTGATAGCTTTGTGTAAGAACCCGTATCAACAGTCGGTGCGTCGAGAACGCGACTTTTTGATTTTCCTTGGTTTTTTTTTTTTTCATTAAATGGAAAACTGGTAATGTCTGCGTCAATTTTTTTGAATTGTGGGTTACCTTGGTAACAAGGTGTCCAAATGAAATACGACTAATACTCTGCTATCTGAATCGTTTCCCGTCAGCAATGGTGTTTGCGTACAGATTTAAATTAAATTAATCTCCACATCGCCCCTTCTAACTTTCTCTCTCTAAAACAGTGGCACATCTCTCAGCGGTGTCAGTCTTTTTATTGATCAATTTATTACCAATTATTTGTTCTTTATTGGCATTTATTTATGATCCTATAGTGATATTTATAATATGTATGACATTGTATATTATGTACATTAGATACTTACGGTGCACTTCCATTTTTACACATAAAGCTGCAAATTTGTATTAACGGGGTGATGTCATATGAAGGGCGGATCTACTGGAAAGAAGTGTCATTCCTGTCATGAAAAAGAAAGAAAAAAAAATAGACACGAATATATACTTCGTACGATGGGCAGACCACTGTTGTAGGTGAGAATTCGGGAAGGTAGGATATAATATTATGGAGGAATTTAATGTATAACTTTACACAACAAATAATCTCTGGTTAACGAAAGACGATTCTGAGCGGAGTTCAGTTATGCATGTTTTGAAAGGCCGCAATATTTACGATTTAAAATTAATATATTTTGTAAATTTTCTCGTTTTTCCTACGTTTTTTCCCGGTTTTTCCCCCTTTATAATGAAAACCTCTAGAAAATCAAAAAATTACCTCTTTAAAGTACCACCCCAGTCAAATTTTTTTCAGAAAATAGTGCTATACTTAAAAATCGGAATAAACTTTTTGGTAAAAAATGTTATTTATGTTTTCTACCAGAAATATTGCACTAATAAAAAATCGAAAAGAGATCTTTTTTGTTGAATTTTTAATTTAGTCTATAAGTAAGAAAGTCATCTTTTGATTTGCCTTGTAATTATTTTAATAATTGAGCAAAACCGAAAAAAAAAAACGTAGAAAGACCGGGTGAATGTACGAAAATAATGGTTTTATTTTTTTCAATTTTGTTTTTGTTGTTACTAAGCTTCGCTTAGAATCGTTTTTCGTTAGCACTAGTTTAAGGTGTTTTACAGATATAAATTAAATAACTTTATGCATTCAAC